TCATTTAACTGATATCTAATATTAACTTTATTTCTGTGCGTATCGTATAATTCCGTACTTCTCCTTGAATTTAATAACTTTTTTTTAAAAATATTTATGTAATTATTTATTTATGATAATTTAGAATTTACTACATAATTAAATCATATTAATACTCATTCTATTTCTAGTTGTATTATTTAAGATTTGGTTGGCTGTTCCAGGCTTTCATTTATTTATTTTTAAGGGAAGTATAAGGGAGATGAAGGGCATTATATTAATTTAAAAAATGATTAATTAACTACTAAAAAAAGCTGAATACTTTTCGTAATAAATTATTTTATAATACGTTGCATTAAAATTAATGTTTCGTTGAAATCTTACTTTGCATTGTTATAAAAATAAATTAAAATTTATTTATGAAATTAATAGAATAGTGATGATTTATAAATAAAAATTATTTTATTAAAAATTTTTTATTATAATTATTATTTTAACTGTTATTGAAAATTAAAAAAAAAAAAAATATTAAATGCTTCTGAGCAACTATTCATTTAAAATTTATCCTATTTATAATAAAAATTGTACTTTTTGTACTAGTTTTTCAGCTACGCAAAAAGGCGAAATCTTATTTCATAAATGAATATATATTCAAAATTTTTAATAAAATAATCTATTCATTGCATGAATATTTTTCTTTTCTAAAACATTTGAAAGAAAATCTTGAATAATAACAGTCTTGAGTATAAGGAAAAACGGACGCATTCTAAATGTGATTAACTATTAAAATTTTTCTTTCATATTTCTTTTTACAGTTTTTTAAGTTACGTATTTTTATCGAAGATATTCAACGGTATATTAGTAGAAAAACATTATAGAAATAATTTAAAAAAAATTTTAAACTATTATAAACCTTAATTAAAGACACTTTTTATTTATAAGATAACTAAAAGAAAAAAATTTTAAACGCCATTTTGTTTTCAATTTATATTTATTTACCACAAAAACCCTCATGATATTTGCAGATTGTAATACGATTAACAAAGCGAAAAATATATATATATATAAAATAATGATAATGATAATAATTATAATTGTTATGATTACACGTTAAAAAAAAAAATAGCAAAAAATATAAATATGTGTATAATTGTATATAATTATCATATTAATAGTAATTAATAATTGATTCGTGCTTAAAAAACATTTAACAATTTTTGTGACAGAAATAATGAATTTTCAATTTTCAACGTCATCTATAATTAAATCAATTGAGCGGATATCGTTGTAATGATGATAAAAATATCAGATTAAAAATATCAACTAGAAAAAAAAAAATCGAAAAAGTTTATCTTTATAAATTAGCAACAACCCTGAGAGCATATTATATTTTTCTTTTTTTTTTTTTATCATAATAAATTCCATTAAGGGGCTACTGATGATAATTTATGAAAAAATTACAATTAAGAAAAATTAATTTGACACTCTAAGTTATCATTTAGTTTTTTTACCACTTAAATATTACTACTCCAACTGTATAACTATTGAGATATGAAAATTATTCGCTGACATTAATTAATTAATTACGATTTAGTTACAATAATTAATTATACAATTAGATAAAAAATGCATAATTAATTGAGTGACTCATTACTATTATGTTGTTTTTTTTTTTTTTTTTAAATGTAAAAACAAAATTCTTTTCACGAAATAATGTATTTACAAATTGAAAAAATATATAGATATTGATTAGAAAAGTTTAAATAGTTCCTCTTTTCACCCTATTATAAATTTAACTATGTTATTTAATAAATCTTCTTATGTTTGTTAATAATATTCAACTCATTTTACAATTCACAATTTCATTCATTTGTTTATAATTTATTATATTAGTTAATTATAATTACTATCAATTTATTCCTCTTTTTTTATTTAAATCCTGTAAGTTTAAATCCTCATGATCAATTCTATTTTAATCATATAAAATCCATCATATGAAAACTACATTCAAAAACACTTATTCCATTAAAATGATAATAATAATAGTCATAATAATAATGATTAAATACTCGTTCTATAGTTATGGTAGTAGCATTAATGATTTCGTGATTTTCGTTATTTTAAAAGTTTTCTTTTGTTTATAATGCTAATTTTTTTATTTTATAATTTATTATTGTTAAAATGAGATGGACAGCCTCAGGTAAACAAATTAATCCTTAAAATCACATAATTTTCCTCATAATTTATTTCTCTTATTTACTTTCTTAAAACGTTAGCGTCACATTTACTTGAATAATCAACAGCACGTCGAGATACTTACTTATTTTTATGTTTAATTCACGTAAAAAATTGTTAAATGTAAATATTACTATCAATTATTTTCATCCATCTTGCTATTATTTATGTAAACTTTATAATAAATAGTCAATTTGATTAAGCTCCATCTCTCTCTCTCTCTTTCTCTCTTTTACGATCTCTTTCGTTGATTATTTTCATTCAATTAAATTTAATAGATGGTGGTTTATAATAATTAAAATATGAAATAAATTTTGTAAAGAAAAAATTACTCATTAATTAAATGATTTCGTTATTGTTTAATATACGAGTCGCGTCATGTTAATTTAAATGTTAAATTATCATTAAAAAGCCTCTTATTAATAATAAAATTACTACGAGAAACAATTGTGCCATTAAAAGAGATTAAAAAATACGCTGCGATCGCGATATATAGATTTTGTGGTAATATTTCTCTTTGGCAACAAATAAATTTTTCCCCCTGTATATAAAGCCACTTTCATGGTGAAATCCTGCTCATCTTAAATGATATTTTATTTCATCCATTTGTTTTATTTTATTTATTCATAATACCTAAACGCTTTTAACAAACGCGACCCGTTAATTACGATATTTTTTCTTTTTTATTTTAAAAATGACAGCCGTTGCTTCGGAAATATATTCATTTAATAGATTCTATTGTAATAAATCCTAAAGAGTAAATATAATTAAGCCATATATTTAATCAGGTAGACTTTTCAGACCAGTGCCCCCTAAATGTTAGCATTTTAATTCGATTTAATTCTTCGAAACATCTTTATTAATGAAACTTCCAAACTCTAAAATTGGAAATATCCCGATCTATTTTACTTAATTTAAATCGTGGTAAACTCAGTCTCGCCAGTTTTAAAATTTAACATTTTAATACAGCAATCATCTTACAGTCGTCAAATAGTAGATTATTATTTATTATTATCATTAAAAAATTGCGCCATACCAGAAAAAGAGTTATCTAATATTACTTAGTTTTCCATTCAAAAATTATTGCTAGTGTTCCCATTATCTGAGGATTAAGCCAATAAACTTGATGTAAAATTAAGAAATAATTATAACAATTAAAGTAAAAAGAGCCTAAAGGAAAAGATATTTTTATTTAAACCCTAAGAGTCGCGTGCATTGTTGTCTAATATGGAATTCAGGATTGATTATCAGGTTTATTATCAGGATGTCTAAGGAGAAGAATTGAGAGAAATAAAAATACTGGAAGAAGTGTAGTGATACTTGAGGAATTAATCCAGATAAATCAGAAGTTACATCAGGAGTATCAGAACTTATTGAATGAAATGAAAGACTATTGCTTGGACTATGACCATGTACGTGAGATATGTGTGTTAATGAGTAGGCAAAAATTTGATAGAAAATAAGGTGATGATATTGGAGGTAGCAATTTGGAGCTAGTTTCTACACGAGATGAATATGAAGAGTACTGAGTTTGCATTAAACTGTTGGAGAAATTTAGTTTTAAAAGAGTAAAGAGAAGTGAAGAAGCCATAAAGGGAAAGTAACGTAGACTACGAAGGGGAAAAGTCTAAACCAAGGCTCTACGACGCTGTTATTTCGTTTTCTTTTTTTCCTATTAATATAATTATAACAATTAAAAAAAATATTCTTATCATTTAATTTTAATAGGACCATCTACCCAAAAGCTCGTATGGTACAATTTATTTATCTGCAAGGAAGAAATAATTCGATGCATCGCGTTGTATTTATTTTAACTTACTTACTCTATTAACGGAACTATATATGAAAGACAGAATTACAAATATAAATTAAATTTAGATTAAAATTATCTAGTGATAAACGAAAAAAATGGAAATGTACAAAAAAAATACTCTCAAGAGCAGGAATTCATTTACTAAAATCTCAGTCGCAAAATTAAGTTGATTATTTAATTAATAATTATTAGTTATGACTGATTTGTTTTTACAATTATTATTGAATTATTCTATTATTTACTTGTTATTTATTGGCACGGTTAAGTTTTAAAAATTAACGTACGAATGTTTAAATGCAATGTATTTAATTTATAACCTTAAAGTCATAATATCTATCATTTCCTATCTGCTCTATAGAGAAATTTATATATAAGATCATTCAGAAATTAATTAAAAATGACTTATTAAATGGAAAATTTATAATATCTATAATCTTTTTTTAAATTACCATACAGTTAAACAACGCGATAATCATTCTATTTATTTTACATTCTAGTTTTTTGTTTTTTTTTTTAACCTCTAGCTTTATTTTAGATTAATTAGGTATAAAGTTTCAGACCAGTAAATGTAATATTATCTATCAATAATCATTTAATTATCAGGTTTTATTCATTTCTATCATTGATTTATTCTTTCATTAGTCAATAATTTACTATAATTAATTAATTACATAAGATCGATAGATCGGTATAAAGATGTCTCGAAGATTTAGGAATCATTAAAAAAATACATTACCGATTTTCTACTTTAAAAAACTTCAACTAACGTGATATCACTATTGTCAGAGGTGAATACAGGTTTGTGCTTATTTAAATATTTTTTTCTTTTTTATTGTTTCATAAGAAATAAAGAATCATCACTAAGACCTATTGTACACCTCCATACAATTGTCATTCATTTTCTATTTTATTAATTTTTACTTTCTTAATATATTTTTATTTAGTTAACTTTTCCATTCTATTTTTTATTTTATTTATTATGATTATTATTCTTTACGCTCACTTGTTATTTTTTTTATTTTTCTGTTAACACCTGATTTTTATTTACCGCTTAAAATTATCGCTTATTTAATTAAATCCCACATATTTTAATTCCCAGCATCACCTACAGATGTTCAGCACCATGAGACGTCTACTACTCATTTATTTCCTCTTCTGTGATTCCCATTATTATTTATATTAGAATTTTGTGTTTTTTTTTCTTTCTTTTAATAAAAATGAATTCATCTGGTTTCAATGTCAATAAGGGTAAATTTTAACGTGATCAATAAGTTATTTTACCGAGAAAAAAAATCCCAAAACTTTCAAGTTACAAACGAAATGCTGAAACATAAGAATTTGTTTAAAATTAAATTTGAGAAAGAAAATAAATAGTAGACAAACCATAGGAGCAATACCAATGTGTTAAACGCATTACTCTCTACATCGCGAATGAATTAAAATGGTCATGAGGCGGGCCACTCTTTATTATAATCAAAGCCTTGTTGACCGGGTTTAGGAGCACTGGCGGCATACCCACCTTGGTTGCTCTCGCCACCCTGATAAGAACGTTGTGGATAACTCGTATCAGCAAAACTACCAGTGTACCCAGTGTATCCACTGTAATCAGGAGTCTTAGTGGAGCTGCTACTTGATCCTGGTGCACCAGATCCTGTTGTTTGCCTCGAATACATATCACCTGAAATTTCCATTTTTATTAATTATCATGTTTCTTTATATCTCATCATCAACTAGCATTTTTTGTTGAGCTAAATTGTGGCATTTTTTTTTTTTTTACAAATAAAGAAGCCAACTATCATATTATATTTTAAATAAAAATAAAATTAATAAATTGATTGACATAAAGATAGTGAAAATTCAAGCGATGGAATAAATTTAAGTCTTGAAGAGAATGATTAGAGGATTGAGAAATATTGAGAATATATAGCTTTAACTCATCATTGATTGTTTAATTATTATTTAAAATTAAATAAAAGTAAGTGTATATTGAATAATAAAAATAAAAATTTTTCCATCATATTCAATACAATTTTTTTAATATTTTTTTTATTATTTCATTTATTAATATTTAAATGCCTACTTGTCTAACAAAAAAAAAAACTATACTATATTAAATGCTATAAAGTCTACGTAGCTATGATGTACATATTAACTATTCTATTACCAGTACTAACATGTTGAAACTAATGAAAGAAAATACTATGGATGGCAAGCACGATAATTACATTATATATTAAAAAAGGATTTCTACTCTATTTCAAAGGACTTGTTCGAACATTCAACTCAATACAACATAAAATGAATAAAAACACATAAAATAAAAATAACTTCAAGCAAAGAAAACATACAACACCACTGAAATCAAAGCATGATCAATTGTCAGTTTTAATATTCAACTAACAAATGTCTTTTTTTCATTTCATTTAAAAATAATTTTTCACTTTATATTTACTATGTCATGCCTAGTGGCAATCTACTAACAAAAATTTTAACATATAAAAAATATTACTTTCTATAAAAATGGATAAATTGAATAATGTATAACACCTTGTTTAATAAATTTAATAAAACCTATATAGATTAATTATTTTTTAAATAATACTTTATGATTAATTATAATTACAAATGAGCCAGATTAGTAAAATTGTTAAAAATGATTCATGATGAATGCTAACAATGAATATATTTGGGTAAAATACCAGATGACCGATTGAATTAAGTGAAATAAGGGTTAAAAAATGATTTAATAATTAATCAAAATGTATAAAAAAAATGAAGTATAAATAAACAAAAATCAGCAAAAACATTTTTTGTTTGATTTGAGGTTTAAGAAGAAGACTCACCCTGCGGGCCAGAGGGGTTCGAGTTGGAGTTAGGCTGCGAGGAATTGGGCTGAGGGGGCTGAGGTGGTGGTTGAGTCCCAGGAGGAGGCCCATTTTGTGCCATATTCCAAGAGTTCCAGGAACCTCCGGGACCTCCACCTGCAGCCCCACCAGTGCCCGCCGTGGGCCCATAACCCCCTGAAGCGGCCGCAGCCGGCCCACCTGCGATCATTCACACAAAACACGTGTCACCGATCTCATTTTATCACACGATTTTGTTTTTTTTATTTACTTGAAGACTAGCACTGTGATGGCTATCAAAGTTTATGCTTCAAGATAAATTCAAAGTCTTTTGAAAATAATTGTAATGAAAGTTTAATAACAATAATTATCTCGAGTAATAGTTAGGAATTGAATACCACTTAAACTTAGATGAATTTCTGATTGTAAATTAAAGAAATTGCAATAAAAAATAATTTAATTGGAGTAAATCTCTAATTAAAAAAAAGTTATCTCAATAGTATCGTAAAATATATTCAGTAAAAAAATTTTGATATTTAATTGAATAAGTTTTATTACAAAAAGAATATCATAATTATAGTTAAATAAAAAAAAAAAATTCATTTAATTGATTCTTTCGAGGCCATCACAGTGACATTCTCCCTTAATTAATGGGTCAACCACGACTGTTTTATAAAAATAAATTTATAAAACTGTTGAGTAAGTCGATCGTACCGATAGAGAGAGATCGTGAGACTATTCGAGATATTCAATAATATAAAAAATATTTCTCCTTCAACTGTTTTTTTTCTTTTATTATTTAAATATATGGAAATTCAATTAATCTATCAAATTCGCCTTCTAAACGAAAAGAAATTACGCCTCATATTATTTTAGTACATTTGAGTCAAATCATCCTATTGTATTTTCTTTCTTTATTTTATTGCTAGAGATAAATATTTTTTTTTTTAATGGTATTTATCAACCTCATTTAATAGTTCACTGATTAAATAATCATATATAAACTGACACCAACAATAACAGCTGTCATTATTATTGTTGCTCTGCATATTTATATCATTTAGTAACCAAATAGAAAATCAATGATCCATAATAAATAAAAGAAATTAATTTGTTTATTGAAGCAAAGGATAACTAAAATCTCTTCAAGCGGGATGAAAAAAGTAGGTAGGGATGCAAATAAAGGCATGATTTATTTATAACTATTTAGGTATAACGATTAAATAAAAAATAAGAAATACTTTCATTGCGACGGAGGCAATCGAAAAGGAAGGAAATGGATAACATTTCAATAAAAAAAAATAAAAATATGTACATTATAATAAAATATTTAAAACAAATTAAATAGTAATTAATTTTTAAGCCCTTCTCGATTACTCACTCTCTCTCTCCTCTATTTTTTTTTTTTTAAAAGTGAAAATTTATCTCTTAAAATAAACCTTTTTTTTTAGAAAAAAAAATCTTAGTGAAATAATTAATTAATAGTATAAAAATTCACTTGGAAATAAAAGAGAAAAATTTTCACTTATATCTTGTGCAGTCGATTTCAACTCGCAAACTATATCGGTGGATCGACTGCCTCTGTCGCGAATGTTCATTACTGTTTACACGGTATGACGATCAACAACATATGCGTCAATAATTTATATCAATTTATTGAAAAAAAAAAAAAAAATAATAATAATAATAATAATAAATGATATATTATTTAGTGATAAAGTTTAGTCACCAAAAGTGAGAGAAAAAATGATTATAAATTAAAAAGACATTTGTTTAATTGTCAGTCTATGTTTATTTATTATTTCATTAAATAAAAAAAAATCATAAGCATTGAAAACATGATTAAAAATAGTATAAATTAATTATTGAAAAATAATTTAAGTAATTTAGTTATTCTACATAAACTTACTATAAAAAATGTAAAAAATGGTAGTTTATTAAAAAAGTATTTTATTCATAATATTACAAAAAGTGATGATAAACTGTATTTTAAAAAATCTTGTCTTAGTAATCTTAAAATTACTAGTTGAATTGAATTATTTAAAACTTAAACTAACAAAATTAAAATTTATTGTATATTGAATTATTTAATCATTTTCTCTCTCATTCTTATGAAAGGATTGAAACTCACTCCATTTTTAAATAATATATTTAAATACTAACTGATATCTATAAAAATTCTTAAATTATGTAAACAGAAAAGTAATCGCATATTCACTTAGTGTAAATATATAATTTTGAAACTTTTTTAATAAATATTATAATATCGACACAAGAAATATCTTAAATGTTTATATAAATAATAATTATTTTTTAATTGAATTTTTCATTATTGCTTATAGAAAAGGAATCTCTTAAATTTTTAAAACTTATAGTATTGAATATTTATAATAATGATTATTATCAGATTGTTATTTAGTCTATGGAGTGAATCTATACCCATCATATTTTTAGAATTCATGAAAACCATTATTAAATAAAAGAGTCTCAACGTGAGATCTTTAATTAAGCATTAAACCTACCGTAGCTTCCATAACCTTGAGTGGCAGCCGCAGGTTGAACATTGTAACTACTACCCCACTGATGTGGTGGTGGTGGAGGAATCTGTTGTTGTTGTGGAGGTCCTGGTGGTGCACCCCATCCTTGAGTATTGTATTGAGTACTGTAACCAGCATAACCACTAGTTTGAGGACTAGTACCCCAGCCTTGATACTGCTGCATCATGTTTCCTGGTGGGCCCATTGGGCCACCGATCATTGGTCCACCCATCTGACCGTTTGGTCCTCCCATAGGGCCCATATTTCCAGCCATGCCCATTGGAGGTCCACCTTGTTGATGATGCCCCCATTGACCTTGATGGCTGTCGTTCATCTTATTAGAAGAATCACGAGGCTCCGCGCGTTTTATCTCAACCTGCAAGCAATCATTATTAATTCAACCAATTAATTTTTTTTTTGTTGGTTTTAATTCTCTATTTTAAATCATTTTCATTATTTATTATCCTAAGTTAAATAAAATAAATTTATGTAAGTGGTAATATAACTATAAAAATTTGTTATAAGTAATTTTCTTAAATTATATCAATTGAAAACATTATTAATGAAATATTGATTTAACATTGAGAGCATACAAAATCGTTTTATGCTGATTAATTTCAATACTAATCGTATAAAACTATTAAACTACTTACATAACTTATTTACTTTTCATCGATATTTATAATAAAATATTCGAAATTTGAAAAGAATAATTTACTTATCACAATAATATATCCACTTAAATTTCATTTTACTATTAACATTAACTAAAATTAATTTTTAATATTTAACGTAACGTTAAAATTAACTTTTATCAACATAACTTTACATTAACCAATTAATTAAAATTAATAATTTAATGAATCAGTGATTATAATTGACTTAATAATAATTCTTATATACCTGTTTTCCATTCAAGTTGACAAAATGTTCACCAACACATCGGTCCACAGCGTCATCGTCCTCAAAGCTGAGAAAGCCGAATCCTGTTGTCCAAATGTGATATTTTTTTTTATACAAAATTCGCCATCGGTTTTATTTTCTCCATGTATGCATTTTTATTAATTAATATACTAATTAAATATATTTTTCTACCTCAAATACGTTACGTAATTATTTATCAGAAATTTCTATACTTTATTATCAATAAACTTATTTGTTAAAAAATATTTAGCAACATTACTGATCAATCTGATAGTTATCAATAATGAAAAACATATGAATACTCAAAATGAAATTAATTTATATAAATTAAAAAAAAATAAATTAAAAGCTTATTACATCTATAATAATTATAGGTAAATAAGAACGTAATATAGTATGAATAAAAATTATAAATGAATTAAAATTATATAAATAAAAAAACTGGTGAAATATTGAAATTATAAGAGGGAAGTTAATTACTATAAAAATCATAAAAAGTTATAATTATCAGAAACCCTAATTATTAGCTTAGTCTTATGCTATAAGCCTTAAAATAGCATAGTTCGAACTAACCTTAAGCTACACTTAATTTATTTACAAGATATACTTATGACTTATATATAAACTACGAGAAATCAATCAATTGTCATAATTATTAAAAAAAGTAAAATATTAACATAATGTAACGTATTTGATTAAATAATTTACATAAAATATTACTACTTATTTGTAATAAGTAAATTTAGATCTATTAAATATTAATCTATCTTTCTAATTAAATACATGAAATTCGAATGAATTATTGTATACTATTTTTATAATATGCATAAAGGAGAAAACGTAATGAAGATAAGAAGAAAGTAAAAGTTTCTCTGACAACTTTAAATGTTTAAAAAATTGCTTTATGTTTCATAAAAATTTTATCTTGTATTTTTTTCAAGCGTAAAATCAATTATAAAAAAAAAACTATTTTTAATTGATTAGTTTAATTATTACAGATAAAACTTTAATCAAGTTATTTAGGTAATACCACATTTGTTTAAATTAAATTTTTCATTTTTATGGTATTGATTTGAAAAATTAAATATTTAACAAAGAATATAAATAAATAAATAACTTTCGATTAATTTAGAATCTTATAACTTTCTATAGTAAACAAGTACCTAATTAAATACATTTAAAGTGTGCAGAATAATTTTTGCTTTTACAATAAAGAATGAAATCACGAAAAAGTTTCGAAGTAAGTAAAACACTAAATTAAAGTAGAAAATCCACTTTAAAATAGTACTCTTAGATATAATTATCAAAAAATAACATAAATAACATAAATAACATAAATTTAATTTGAAATAAATTCAATTTAAATATTTATTACGCTCAAATAATTTTAATTAATTAATATTTAGTTATTTTATGATAACTTTTAAAAACAATTTTCATAATGATTCAATTATTTACCTCTTGATTTTTTTTTCTCTTGATCATACATGATGACAACTTCCATGACTTTTCCAAAACGTGAAAAGAATTGTCGAAGATCAGTTTCAGTAACATTACTTGGTAAGCCGCCTAAGAAAACTTTGGGGAAGCCGCCACTACGTTTTGGTTTTTGAAGTGTACGTGGATTACAGGGCTTTGGATCAATCTTGAAAAAGAATAATATTTTAATGAGTTAATTAATATAAATAAAGAATCCAATGAATGTAATTCAAAACTGTATAAATAATTCATATTTACTTTTGAAACATTAAAATTTAATGATGTACCATAAAATAATAATTAGTTATTCGTTGGAACTTACAGTGCGACCATCCAGTTGATGAGGTCCATTTTGAAGAACAAGAGCAACATTAGCAGGATCACTGAATGTTACAAAACCAAAGCCACGACTGCGACCAGTGTCGCTGTTCTTCATTACCACGCAGTCAATAACTTCGCCATAGCGGCTAAAATAACGCTGAAGATTTTCTTGCGTTGTTTCCCATGACAAACCACCAACAAACAATTTTCTGTCACAAATAAAAATTACTTATTTAAATAAGTGTTGTATAAAATCTAATTATTAACTATTACTATAAGAGATATTATTCAAAAGTAGTTTGAAAAAAATTCATTCATTCATTTTTAATTTAGTAAACAATAAATAATAATTCATTTTGAATTAATCATTAAAACGTCTAACAGATGAATGTAATATTTAAGTGACGCTAGAAAAATTTTGGAGTATTTTCATAATACAATCTTTCACGATAGCAACAAGGATACTTATAAAACCAAGCATGGGCATTTGCCGGCACAATAGACTTTCACTATATTACAAAAAAATTTTTTTTCCTGTGATTAGATTTTTGATAAAATTTGTGTAGAATATCAAGAATAAATTGTATTTATAATTTGATCATTGAAACAAGTTATGATTAGCTTTTTATTGAGGTCAGACTGATAAAAAAAATTATGAGAAACAGGGTACGCCATGTGTAGCCGGTACAGGAGCATTCCTCAATGGAAAAAAGATCTCGACACGCTTGGCAAAAAAATTTCAAAGCACAAATGCGGACTTTACACTGCCGGAATGACAAACAAATGTGGGTAAATGTTTTATTTTTATCATATGTCAACTCAACTAATATAAAAGCTAATACTAACTGATTAATAATGTAATTTAGAGCAAGAATGATCTAAAAATATTGGTTTTCAAGCATTCAATTGCCTCTACCCAAAAACGACCAACCAACGAATCATGAAGATTCAATTTATTGAAGAATAAATATGTTAAAAAATATAAATATATCATTTATTAATTACCCCTTTTCGTCGTCGTCCATTTCGGCTTTAACTCTCATAATATTTGACTTAAAACTACGAGGATGTTGTTACTTTTTCAGACGCGTGTAGGAATATGGCACGATGCTTTAACGCGGACAAGGGTAATGGCTTCCCACAATGAACTTGAGCGACGTCGTGAGAGACCGGAATGTAAACGTAACGAAACGACGCGCGTCACTTCCGGTTTGATACGACGTGAGTCAAAAAATAAACTGGCGCGCTTGTTTATTCAGGGAAGTAGCCACACATTCAAGAGCCTTTCCATCAGCAATAGCATCTGCATATGATAAATAAAGAGTTAATTATTAATATTATTTTGCATAATTAATTTTAAAAACAAATTTTAACGGAAATACCGTTAGAAAACATGTGAATCTATATAATTTATTTGTCAGATAAAATTAATTAATAACGCGTAGAAAATTTTTCCATCAAATAATGTCTGAAAGTAATAGGTAAATAACGTTTTTAGAGGTTAGAAAAATTTTAATAACAATTTTATATTGTGTAAAATAATTTTATACAATGTTTGGAAATGAACGAAACTTTTTTGACCAGTAGTCACATGAATAATATTATTTTGCATGCGTTAAGAATTGAGCTTGATTCGAGTTGTTGATATGAGTTCAACGCTCTCCGGTAATGGCGGTAACAACCGCCATATTTGATGTGGTCACGCGGCCGGTATTATTACACGAGCGCGCGACTTTTCAAATTTACATTATTTAATAAATTAAAAATAAAAAATATATAAATAATAGTATCAGTTTTTTAAATCATAAAATACGTTTTGCAGCATCAATCTATTATTTTAAATATAAATAACCTAAAATTATTTCAAAATTATAATGGAAAATAAATTCTGTAACAATGAACTCTATTTTTTTTATAAATTATTTTTATGTTTTTATAGAAAGATAAATGTGCAAATGAAATATACTTCCATTATATAAGTAAATTTAAATAAAAATTTGATAGTTTTATAATAAAAATTAGAAAAGTTTCCCATAAAAAAATGCATGTAAGAATTTTACGTTAAAACTTGAATTTATAAAAAATTATCTAAACTACTACATCAATGGAAAATATTTTTAGGTTTCGAGAGAATAGATAATCATTCGTAACAGACATCAGTAGAAAACAGATAAAAGTGACTCGCTCAGGACTAAACGATACAAGTAAAAGAATTCTTGGAATCACCTATGGAGAGGTAGAATGAGGGGGAGTAATAGATGCATCTTTTTTTATTCTTACCAGTTTCAACCGTCAGTCTAGTCCAGAGTCTACGAAGACGAAATTTTAATGCTTCATTATTTTTTTATCCACCCGAAACAAGGTAATTTAAAAACATAAAAATGTTTTATAATTTATTAAAAAATATTAGAATAAAAAATGTTATCACCATTTGCTGGGAAACATATTCGTCTTAAGGATGTGTATAACATTTATGACTTAAAGATTATTGCCTAAATTTGAAGTATTTTATGAAGTAAATGATTCTGTATGGATTAAAATAAATAATAGGTACTTTTCGATAATTTAAACGAAATCATTCCTTTTTAAGTTATTATTCATTCAATATTATTTTACCAGAAGTGTTATAATTCTTAAAAGAATTATCAAGTTCATGATTGTCTTTAAAGTTTTTACGATTAAAAAATCTTATTTGAACATCCATGATAGAATGCAATTACAATTAACAAAAACTATTCCTGTATTGGTTAGTTACAAATTAATTAGATGTACTACATAATTTAAGCATATACACATCCTTAAATTTGTAGTTTATTTTTTAAGCCTAAAATATTAATGAACCAATTTTGAGGAAAATCAATCAATTCTTATTAAAAATAGTTTCAAAGAAATTTTGTTTAGGAGTAAATTGATTATTTATTTCCTTTATACTTCATGTTATCTTTAGATGCAAGTTTGGAGGATATGATGAATGTTAGAATTCCATTTTTCGTAGAAATTCTTTGATTCATGAACCACATGTTTGGGTCAAAGCCACACGTGCAGTGAATAATGATTCATCTTTCTTTACATGTGTGTTACTTTTTTCTGTCTTTACTCCATAAAAAAACATCATATGGTTTATTTTCATTGAATGTAATTCTCTTCACTCAGTTTCACTATTGTATGAACAGAGAACTCCGAAAATGAGTCTCACAGCCTATTTAATACCTGTTCTAGAGTCAAGAGATATCCCAACTTCTTCCTCTAATTCTTCAGTTTAGTAACATATCCTACCAACTCTTGAAAGAGAACTAAAGATAAATTGAAAAATTACTTTTCAACTTCCGATGATAAAATTGTTAGATAAATTTACTCCACTTAAAAATAACCTAGCAATTGATTCATTCGCATTTCTGCGGAAGTTACTGCTTTGAATTTTAGAATGATGAACAAAATCGACTTCTTGATTTAGAAAATTCATTTTTATGCATCAAATAGTCTCTTTGATAATACCAATTTTTAATTGTCATTTCAAAAAAAAATGATTGATAACGAAAATTATGCAAATTATGATTCAATATTCATTGATAATTTTTTTATTTTTCACAGTAAAAAAAAATTTATTGCAACACAATGACTCAACTCGTTATTTCACGTTTTAGTGGAATTTTAGCATGATAATGTACTCTCATCGCCCAACTAATTATTAAAACAAGTTAAATATTAACAATTAAAACCGTGAATTGTAAAATATCATCGCATCATCTGTGTCACAATAAGTCAAAGGTTCCACCGTCACTTGGAACCTTGAATCAAGCAAATGGATAGTGAAAAAAGAGAGATGAAAAAATTCACCAATCAGAGGTATGTTATGAACAATCATCAGTCATCAACTCAGCATATAACTCAACATTTCTTCTATCTTTTCTTCTTCTTCTTCTAGCCCAGACACATTACATCACATTACATAGTCAGAATAATCAGAAGCAACTTAAACGAGTCGTGTGAGTTACCTACAGAACAGCAGCTGTTGAGCTGATCGAGACTGCCGGCTTATTTCAGTCGTGATTGTGCCATCTAACACGCAGCACGTTGGCTTCCTTGAAGGATCCCACGACAACTCTCGAAGAGGAAAGAGCATGGACTAATAAAGGAACAAGAGACCTAGAGAAAAAGAGGGAAGAAAAGGGGACAGAGGAGGCAAACTTGAAGAGTCTTTTCTCCAGTGTTCCGTTCACCCTGGACCCATTCGGCCGTGAACTAGTGTTGTGTCAACTATATCTTTATTCGTTGAGTGTAATATCCTGAAATAGGACTTGATACTCATCACTCTTACTATCGAAAGTCGTATTATTTATTTATTGTTGTTTTCAATAGGATAAATGGTTATTTTAAAATATTAGTGTTAGTTTAATTAAAAATTTTAAAACATCAACTTTTAAATAATTGATCAATGTTTAATAGAAAATTGTTTAGTGTTTTTTAGTTATTAAATATTTTTAATTAATTATACTAATAAGTATAATTAAGCAATACAAGAATAATTAGCTAATAATTGAGAACAAATCAATTCCAATCGAAAGTTCAGTGAACTTAATCATGTGATGAAGGTCATGGAGATCTCATCCAGAACGAGAATTTTATGGGAACGGAAATGAGTGTGAGAAAGTGTGTAAACAATTAAGTAGGAAATTAATATACTAAAGGGTGGATAAGAATTTTTAAATAGTGATTTGATGATAATCAAGGGTAGGTGTATTGTTAAAAGAAGTTGAGTGAGTGATGCAAATTAAATAAAAGGGCATTAGATGCCTCATTATTTAACGTCTTGAAGCAGAACCGCAGATGCTATTGTAATAAAAAAAAGAACCGTAAGAGGTTAATCCAGCATAAGAGTAGTGGTTTAACGGTGCCTCCAACTCACTGACGTTAAAAGTTGACTTGCATTTGCACCTCATTGACCGCTGCTTTTAATACACATGGAGAAGAAGAATATTCATTGGTAAGATAATATAGATGATGGTACTTGTACATTTTGTCCTACTAGTTACTCAGATTCTTTCTTTATTCAATAGCACAATGGTAAAAATAATTCAGAACTGTCTAATGATGCTAAATGAATGTGCAAAGTGTCAGTTAAATGCAAGAATCCTGGTTTCAAAATACTTATAATCAATAAAATAATGTTAAGAAGTTATTTAACAACTACTCTCACAATCATTGCCACTAAAAAAAATCTTCAATAAAAAATTGCTCTAATTACATAGAATTAACTGTCGCAACTGATACCAATTCTAGGGGTACAATAGTAGCGGCAACATTATTACATACTTTTTTACTTATGAATGGAACAGAAAAACGTCAAGATAATTAGCTAGAGAATATCTAAAATTTATTCTAGATTAGATAAAAATTCAGAGTTTTGTAATTTAAATCAAAAAAAAATAATCTTGTATGTGGTCTTTCTTAGTAAGTCGTTCAAAAGAGTGATGTTCTAATTATTAGGATTTTATTAAGAAGATTATACAATAAGTTAAACAAAGCATAAAGAAACATTGACAAAACACACTTGTCTTACCTTGAACATCATGACAAATATTCATGACCTCGTTTGTCCAAGACATAAATTTGCATGACTTAAGTCATTATTTCAATTCAATTCTCCTGACATTTCATCTCTTAGTTACTACATCATCATCATCATCATCAGAGGACTCTTTGTTTGAACAGACTAAGTCCCTTAAGGCTCTTCACAAATCCGTTATGGATAATGAGGTTTTTTAATTTCTGTATTTCAGATCAGTAAAATGAAAGCAGAAAGAAGCAGAAAAGAAGAAGTGAAGATACTAAAAATTGGCGAGATAAAGTCCAAATTCAAAGATGAAGAGGACACTAAATTCGAACGGTGACAAATCGCGGGATGCTTAGACATCGTGGCATAAGAAGTGCCATTTTCGGCCTCTTTCTGGGCTTTTTACTTGGTATTTTTATGTCTAATTATCGTGACATTAATAGTCCAACTTCACAACATGTTCTCCAACGACCATCTCCAACCAAATGGTCTCCACTTATCCAAAACCTCAATACCAACATTTCGTCGTCAAGTCTTGCCTTCGTTGGAGTTATGACTGCTCAAAAGTACTTGGATTCAAGAGCTAAAGCTGTTTGGGAAACTTGGGGCAAACAAGTTCCAGGAAAAATGGCTTTTTTTTCATCGGAATATTCACAAGTACCAGAAAATTGTCCAGATTTACCTCTCGTTGCTTTGCCAACTGTAGACGATGGATATCCACCGCAAAAAAAATCCTTCTTGATGCTCCAATTCATGTGGAACAATTTTGCAGATAAATTTGAGTGGTTTATCAGAGCTGATGATGATGTTTACATAAGAACTGACAAATTAGAGAAGTTACTGAGGTCCATTGATTCAAGTAAGCCGATGTATATAGGTCAAGCTGGAAGAGGAAACTCTGAAGAGATAGGACAGCTGTCTCTAAATTATGATGAAAATTTTTGCATGGGTGGACCTGGTGTTATTATATCCAGAGAAACGATGAGGCGAATTATTCCACACATAAAAGAATGTTTGAAGAATTTGTATACCACTCACGAAGATGTTGAATTGGGCAGATGTGTTAGAAAGTATGCTGGTATTTCATGTACTTGGAGTTATGAGGTAAACATCATTCTTTTCATGTATAACAGATTTTTAATTTCAATTTAAAATTAATTTCTTAGAATAAAATAAATTTGTTCAACTTTTTTATATCTAACTCCAATTAATTTAGATAAGATATAAATGAAAATGCTTCTTTAATATTTAATTTAACCTATAAAGTGAGAATTTTCATGATTAACTATCTTTACTGATTACTTATTTTCAATCAGGTGGAGGATTTCACGACAATAAACCAACGAATACATGAATTTATGGAATGGTTTTTACGTCAACTATAAACGTCTTTCATGAAGAATTACCTGTTTAAAGTCACATAAAAATTTTTATTGTAAAGTAAATAATACAAACGTAAATAGATGATGAAACTTTTATTATTTTATTTAATATGAAGATAACACTTCTGATGTTTCCGAAACCTTTAATTTTGATTATTTGCTTGCTATACCAATTAAGAAATATTTTTTATCTTAATTCCTAAAAAATTAAAAGAAGTGTCAATCAATAAACTTAATAAGTACTTCCAGAGAATTAAAGCTTTTAATTTACATCAATAATTAAAAAATAATTAGAAAAAAGGCTTGTTTTTCTTGTTTCTTTCTAGATTATCGATTAAATTAGAAAGTTATTGTTATAATCGATGAACAAAGCTATTCAAAGCAGCTTTTTAATATTTATAATTACATCATGATGACTAATATACCAGTCGTTGACATCCTAACGTACACCGTGAATAATCAGAATAACATTGAGTAGAAATTCTAGCATAAAAATTTCAACCCAGACCGGTTTTTCTTCTATTAGATACATTTTCTTCTAGGTTTTTAAATATCGTCATAATAAAACCCCAATAATTATCTTGATAACCTAAAATTATCATAAAGTAAACAAAAAATAATTGATGAATTAAGCACGTACGCAAACTCGTAAAAAAGAGTTAATTTTAGATATATATGATTATTGAAACATTTTTTTTTGTATTTACATCGTCATTGGATGTTAGATCAGATTATTAAATTGATGTGACAAGTAATTTTATATCATAACACTTCACATGAAATATGAGTGAAATATTAGTTTAATAAGGATGTTAATTAACTATTAGATAAATGTTTGATAAAATAAATAAATGTTGAAATTAATTCATTTAAGTGTATAGCCTTAACAGTTATTTGAGTTTAAAATTGTATTCGTATCAAATGATTCAATTTCATGCTTATTATACTCCAAAAATAGCAGAAAGAATAACAGTAGCTTTATTACTAACAATTAAACAAAAAAATAGCTTATACAATTTTTAAACTAATTGGTCAATAAATTTGAATAATTTAGACATTAATTTAATATATGAATATTTTTTCAATACCAGTAATAACCGTGAGATCTTTTCAACAAATTTTATTGCTTGTTCAAAAACTCCTTAGAGTCAAAACTAATTTAAACAGGAGAAACGATTTAGTTGAATAAAAGAAACATAGAATGCAAAAAAAAAATGGTAAAATTTATTCCAAGAAAAAGATCAACACTTTTTGCATTTGGCCTTCCTACTGTTAGATACTTCTTCACATCAGTTTCTTTCTCTGTTTTACAACCATCTAGTAGATGGAAGAAATAGCTCAGAATAGATGCTATTTATAATTATATGACAATCCAGAGATGATGAAATAGAGTTGTAAAAAATCGATAAAATTAAAATGAAATTTACTTTAAAATCTACAGTAAACTTTATTCTATTTGACAATGAATAATATTTGTTTTCTTATTGAAGTGTACCGTAATCTCAGAATTGATAAGATTAAAATTTATGCTTTTCAGATGCAATCAATTCTCTATCATAATAGTAGTGGAGATCAATCATTCACTGGGAACTTAAAAAGAAGAGAAGTTCATCAAGCAATCACATTGCATCCAATCAAAAATCCTCCACACATGTACAGGCTTCATAATTATATGCGGGTAAAAAAAGAATTATTAAATTAACATCAATTGATTGAACTCTAGCTTGATATATGAAAGAAATAAAAACTATTTAGAACAATTATTATCAAAAAATAATTACTTATATTGAATTGTACTGAAGATGTTACGTTTCTTTTACTCAGTTTCATATATTTTTTGTTTGAAGAAATGAACTCTGAAATAATAGTCTTGGAGATAGCATGTCCCTTCTAGATAGTGCATCTCATATATCAAGTTAGATTAGTTATCAGTTTAAATTGTTCAGTGTTTAGAGTTTGAATATGTTACAAGATGTATTTGAATAATTATAACGATTTCAGGGTTTGAAAATTCAAGATTTACAGCAAGAAAGAGTATCACTTTATCAAGATATTTATTCAACTGCCAATTTATTGGGTAAAGATGTCGACGAATTTATAAGACAACCATTAGCTAGAGATGTAGAGCTTTTTCCGCATGATTTAGATGCAGAGGATTACTTAAATAATGTAGAAATTCTGGGTAAGTGATTGATAATGTACAAAAAAAAAATTGAACAATGGAGATACCTTTTTTGGTTTCAAATTAAACTATCTGAATTAATAAGTATAATTTGAACAATTGATTGTACAAATTGAACTTATCATGAATGTTTAAATGTATCTCACAGTTCGCTTCGGTCTATCAGACAGACTAATCAAAATTTTCATTATTTCGTTCTCATACAATAATGTCACGGACAATTTAGTCTATCATCAAAACGAATTTACTCTTTAAGCCTATCCTCCGCATTTTTATTAACTTGAAAAAATTTTAATAATTTTAATATATGATAATCATTCACCAATTATGTAAGATCAATTTTATATTTTATGTTTTTTTTTTTTCATTAAATGAGCATCGTTAAAATTGCATTCTGTTGAAGATGAAATAACTATAATTAAAGTTAATTATGCAAAGAGTGTTTTTTTTTCTGTTAACGACACAAAATGATGAATAAACTTCAGTCATTTCTGTTTCTTCTTAGAGTATTGTATTGAAAGTCATTCGGGTAAATTAGACACTAACATGATATTAATAATTTATTACCTTTCTTCAGGTTTACCAGATGGTCTAAAGAGCTTTAAACCTCGATCAGCTCAAGAAGTAATACCATGGGATTTTATTTCTAAGTCAGAGTACAGTCTCGTTGATTCAAATCCTCGAAGAAGAATTTACAGTCATGTTAAAGAAGGCCTGGAGGACATCACGAGAGAAGTTATGGCTTCAATAAATTCATGTTCAAGGCAACGAGGTCGAGTTGTTGAAGAAAGATCCACGCTTTATGGATACAGAAGAGTTGATGCTTTTGGAGCAGACACAGTTTTAGATTTACTTTTAGTCTACCGAAAATATCGAGGCCGAAAGGTTACCCTTCCAGTTAGAAGACATGTTTATGTTCATCAATGTTTCACAGGTATTCTTTCAAAGTATTTCATTAGAAAAAATTGACAATCAATTAAATATATTTTTTTTATTGCAGGAGTGGAAGTAAGAGAAGTAGTGAACGATGTGGAAGTCAATCGTAAAGATCGAGAATCTCAAAAACCATCAAACAGTATATTTTCCAGAAACTTCTTGTTCAATTACCCCGACATAGACCAACAAGATCCAGTCGAGGATAAAATAATTCATTTCATTGTCCCATTATTCGGAAAGTTCGTAGCATTTGAGAGATTTATGAATAATTATGAACAAATATGTTTACGTTCAAAAGCTAAGACTGAACTTATTATAGTTTTATATCCTCATCAAACTGAGAATTCATTTGACAATACGAAGCAACTATTAAGTAATATTAAGAAGAAATATTTATCTGCTAAAATAGATATAATTGATGGCTCTGGTAATTTTTCTCGAGCAAGAGCGTTGGATTTAGCTGTTTCTTATGCAAACATGGCAGACTTATTATTTTTTATTGATGTAGATATAACTTTTACAGCTGAAGCGCTAGATAGAATTCGTTTGAACACAATTATTGACAGAAAAGTTTACTTTCCAATAGTTTTTAGTCAATACGATCCACAAATGGTTTATAAAAATTCCGAAAATCATGATTTCTTTGTGATAAACGAATTTACTGGCTACTGGAGACAATTTGGCTTCGGAATAGTTTCATTGTATAAAAAAGATTACTTGAAAATTGGAGGATTTAATTTATCGATTAACGGCTGGGGTAGTGAAGATGTTAACTTCTTTGAAAAAGCTGTGAATTCTGATTTAACTGTCTTTAGAGCTCCTGATTTAGGATTAGTTCATATTTATCATAAAGTTGAATGTGATCAACAATTACCTCCAACCCAATTATTGATGTGTCGAGGAACGAGTACTGAAACCCTGGCTAGTGTTTATACTTTAGCGGAAATTATTAATCGAAGACCAGAATATCTGCGGTTTGCCAAAGTCAAACGTTCTAAGTTATCTCGAAATGTGGGAAGTTGATTTGTTTAATTAATTACTCATCGGTTAAATTGCATTTACTGAAAGTCAATAAATACACTTTGATAAATTGATGCTTAGCCATAGTAATTTCTATCATTTTTTAAAGAAAACAAATATATAATATTATTTGTGTGTATTATTGTGTTATAAAAAAATTTATTTGGATCAAAATATTTAATATTGTCATACTCAAAGTCTAGTGACTATTTATTCTTGCTCTATTATCAAGAAAATATTTATAATTCAACATTACTATTATTATTATTATCATCATATTTTATTAGGATAGATTTTTATTCTGAATACTGATAAACTGTGATTACAAATAAATGTTCAGTTGTATAAATGAGCAGTATAACTCACAGATCCGGCAATTTATAGTAAATGTTATAAAAAAATATATTTCCCTCAATTAATGTTAATTAAAATTAAATCCAAAAGAGTATATATCATTAAATATTGTATATTAAATGAATTAATTGTTAATGAATATTGTCATTATAATTATGACAATATATTATATTATATATTTTATTGATTGTAAAAGAAGTGCCTTGTCTTGTAAAAAGAGAAATAAATAATTGAATTTAAATCGAGATCTTTTTCGTCTAGTCAAATCAGCCATCACTTGAAGGAAACGAGACTTGATACGATTTAATTTTTATTTCTCTTCAATTTTTAATTCATTTGTATTAAAATATTACATAGCTATATTAATTATCGTGATTGTAATTATAAATACAATGAATAATAATACAAAGTATAAATAAAAAACAATATATTCATTACTTTATGCTAAATATAATTTTTTGACAGATCAAATATGTAAATTGATTTTCCTGAATAATGTATATAAGATTGAAAAATTGTAATTTAAACAATTATTAATGCATAACTTATCATGTAGTATATAGTTAATAATATTTACAAACATCAATGATTAATTATTTTATAATTATTTATTATTCTTTGAAAAAAAAATAATGGGTCAGTCAATTTGTTAATCTTAATTACAAATCGTTATTAATTAATATTCGACTAAATGTTTGTATTTTAATATTATCAGCTACTTATCGTCTTTTTTTATTGGAACAGTCATAAATTTTTACTTATTTGCCGAGTAAAATGTACAGTAGAATGTGTTTAAAATAAGATAATAAGCTTATCATACTCGGAAGCTCAAGGACACTTGTTTTTTTTAATGTGCGACTCCGGAGCAACTGTCGTTGTTATAAGTAACGAGCTATCTAAGCAATTACACTTCAGATTTCATCACTTATTAAAGTGTATATTTGATCATTCTTCACATAGAGTTACAATTACATAATTAACTAATAATAATTTATCAATTGTTCAATAATTATGCAGTGTCAAAAAACTGTGCTATCAATCAGCTGTTTAGTTTTTCTAATTATTCCTGATTTAATTTCGGCCAGAATTTTAAGTGAATGCGATGCAGCACGTGAACTTACCAAAGCTAAAATTTCTCGGACCTTTTTAAGTAATTGGGTAAATATATTTTGTTATTATTATTATTATTAAAAAAAAAGAGATCTAAAAAATTTAAGATGATCCGATCAATCATGTCAAGACTGGACCAGTTATATTAATAAACATATTGTTAAAAATAATTTAACTAACTTGATTGACACGATAAGAGATCTATAATTATTGAGAAAACATGATTGAATAATATATAAGTATTATTTTATTTTATTTACATAAACACTGATACTTATATGAAATAAATTAATTGGTTGATAAGTAAAATAACTAAACCTATGAATTGTCGAAACTGACAGATCATTAACATGATATAATGTATTATTCTTGTCACAATTTAAATAATCATTAATCAAAAATGCAGGTGTGTCTGATGAAAAGTGAAAGTGGATTGGACACAAATAAAATATCAGGTCCAGGAGTAGCATCAAGTTATTCCTATGGTATTTTCCAAATCAGCAGTAGCCAATGGTGCAAAAGAGGAAGAAAAGGAGGAGACTGCAATGCCAAGTGTGAAGATTTTGCTAATGATGATATTTCAGATGACATTGAATGTGCTAAGAAAATAGCTGAAATGAAAGGTTTCCAATATTGGCCGAAATGGTTGAAGAATTGTAAATCCGGAAAACTTCCTAATGTAGGAAATTGCAAAAGACGAAGGTCACTTTCTGATCTTATCATTCCCCCTGTTGAAAATACAATATAATATATTTATTAATAAATTCAATTGTTTTCAAAGTGTAATCAGATACAATTTTAAACTCGATTAAAAGATTAAAATCATATCTAATATCACTGGTGAATAGCGATAATTATTAACAATAAAATAAGTGTTAAGTAATGATACGTTTACGTATGAAATAGGAAGTGAATGTTTTAATCCAACATTATTAAGAAAGATTCCAGAAACAAGTATAATATCGATAATCTGTCATGATATTCTTAAGTAGGTACAATTTGATGATAGATAACAACAGTCAGTAGCACTAATACAAATGTCACAGAAATGATACGATCGATCTTAGTTTTATAAATTCAATGAACTGGACTCGATCCAAGTTGATGTAACTGTTTCATTTGAGTTAACTGTTTAGAAATGGCCGAAGAATTAGAATTACAAAAGCTAAAAAGAATGTTCGTGCTATGATTATAAAAAATCCAATACGATTTCTATTTTTTCTATTATCTTAGTCATTATCTGAAGATTAAATGTCAAACATTCATGTCAATCACGTCTACAAAAAGTATTACTGACGAGAGATTATTGAGTACAAATTCGAAAATTAACTAATTTCAATCGATATTTTGACTAATAATAAATGTAATTACTGGAATTGATAATTGATATGTATTTCTTAGAGAATTGTTCAATAAATGGTTATCATCAATGCGATTAATAATCTTTTTTAATTTGTAGACAGCTTATCCTACAATTATTGAGAAAAATTAGCACATCATAGATAAGTAGCATCAACCACAGAAGCCTAAACAAGAAATTTATTACGAAAAGTTAAATATAAACCTCCTCTTATGTAAATAAGCAATATACATAACTGTTTAAGATCTAAAAATAAATGGATTCCTCAATCTTTTGAAATATTCAGAATACTAGAAAAAAATGTACACATCTCGAAAATGAATTCGCAAGCAGCTCAGAGAGCTTAATACAGCAGTTGGCAAGCAGGTGTTGAGAATAATATTTGTCTTGACATTTGTGTATGTATACAATGTGTGCAGTGAAGAAGAGTGAGCATGCATGTGACTCCTTTCACTAGCGGAAGTGAAGTCTGATGTAGAAGAGAAAAAAAGAGAGATAACTCGTGAGAGCGCACCAGGTCATCATTCAGACGGATAGATGATAGCTAAAGATAATTAGCAGCTACATCATTTATCCATCTATCTATATATCCATCCATTATGGCAATTAGAAGGAGAGACAAATAAGGAAGAAGATGAGTGGAGAAATGAAGCTAAGAATCATCAACATTTTCATGATTAAATTTTATTTAGAAATTTTCAATTCAATTCCCCCGTCTACCGATCAATTGCCGTCAATTATTTTGTCTCTAATAAATATCTATTGATATGGAAATGAGGAGAATAGTGTGAGTGATTCAGACGGACATGTAGACAGACAAAATGAGGGATGAGGAAATAAAAAGATAAGTAACATGGAATAGAAAAAAAAAACCTTTCTCTTGCTTGAGTCTCAGACGGAGACGGTGAAACTCGAGCGAGGATCGACCTTTGGAGAGGTCGATCCTCTCTGATACTTTGATGAAAGTGAATTACTCGGACTTTTTATCCAATATTATGACTTTTTAATAGTTACTATGAAATATGACTTCAGAATAAAAATACTAATATTTATTTTTAATCATTTCAATTATTAAGTACATCACTTAACAATGAAATATTTTTTTGTTTTAAATAAGTTTAGAAAAATTAAAAAACTTACAACTCGATTAATGATTACATAAGTAATTGTAATTCAGTAAGAATATAAAAACAATGACAAATATTTATCCCACCAAACATTGACATTTCTTTTGTTTGTTCAATTTATTTGAAGCCATTGAAATAATACGTAAGACTCGAAGAAGGTTAATATCATTTCTGAACAAAACAATCTTTTTGTGTAAAACAATAGGCAATAGAAAAAAAAACAATTTTAAAACTGTCTTTGAAAGGTCGATTTTTTTTTGTTTTTGAAACATCCTGATGAAAGTTAATTGTAATGACTTGTCTTATCAATCATTGTAATCACTTTATTACACCGTTATTATAATTTTAACAAAGCACGAATGAAGATTGGCTATTTAAGATTTACTAACCTTAAATAATCAATAAATATTTTTATGTGAAATAAAAATCAAATAAAAAATGCACAGTTTGGCGACAAAAATTTGACGTGATTTAAGGTTAGTAAATCCCAGCCTTAAATAATTAAATCACGTAATGCAATTTTTTGTACGTGCAAAAGAAAGTGATATGTAATTTAGGTAATTTATTGAAACAAAAATTTAAAGATTCAAGATTATTATGGTTATTGTTTTTTTTTGGAGCATAAAACAGGTGTTCTTTATTTAAATTTTGTACTCTGATGACCTGCAGCTTCAATAACTTTAAACAGGAAGCGTTTCTCTAGTTTCACATACTACATACCACGTGTGATAATTAGACATGGGAAGATGTTATAGTTACAACGTTACGTGCGTTTTTCGGTCTAGAAATTTGAAATTTAGGTTCAAAAAATAAAACTATTTTACGTCATACCAAATTATATCATGAGTACTAATTATTATATAGTTCAGTAATAATAATTATAATCATCAAACTACCTAAAGTAATCAAGTCAATTTGCTTTTATAACACAAAACCAAGTTATTTGTCATCAGTGAAATTGAAAATTACTTAATGAACAGGTATTTTATGTTACTCTATTACTTAACGACATATTTCTAACTATTTTTTCTTTTAACTTATATATATATAAAATATATCTAAAAATTATATCAACCAATTTCATTGTTAAATCAAAGAATACTTTTATTGATAATTTTTTTTTTTCAATGTAGGACTTGGAGGAATTACTTTAACAATAAATCATCATAAAAAATCAACTTACAGACATTAAGCACATGAAAAGATTATAATAATCCTATAATTTAGATGCAAAATCATTTTTTTAAACAACTTGAAGGCAAATGGAAGAAAAAAAATGAGAAAGGAAAGAGTCTAAAATATGTTAATTTCACAAAAGTTATAAAAAAAAAGAATTAATAAAAATAAAATAATAATAACGATAAGAATAATAATGATACGGAGGATGTTGAAGAAGACCCCGAACGCGGTCGAGCGAAAGTTCCATAAGCCCCCAGGGTCTCTGTACTCTCCCCTTTCATCTGCCTAAGATACCTAACTTCTGCATCAGACTCTACAAATATCCAATGCAATTGCGGAAGACATACACTTCCATTTGGAGATATAAAACACGGAGAATATTGAAATTCCCCTTGAGATTCGAAATAGTGTCCACCAACATCATGATAATAATTTTAATATTATTCATGTCTATGAAATAAACAATAAGAATTCATTTTATTCCTAATGATTCCAAGAGTCGAGCATCAGCAAAGTGTAATTTACTGCTAGAGAAGCCTCTCAATTATGATTGACATCAAAAGACAGACTTTCCATACAAATCATCAAAGTATCTGAAACAAAGAAAGAAGCTAAATTATTTAAACATACACTTGAGAAATATATTTTGACATTTTGTCATGTGTACATCGACAAAATATACAATGAGAACAATAAGTGGCTAAATGAAAATAGACTTATTTCGTCAATGGGAAGATGATAAAGAGAAAAAAAAAGAAAGACTCCAAATTGTAGAGTCATCATGATAAATAAAATGACTCAAAAATTTTACCTAATTAAATTATATAAATAAAGTGTAATAAAATGAATGAAGAATTAAAAAAAAAAGAAGACTTTTAGTAATCTTCTTAAAGGAGAAGGGAAGTGTTTTGCAAAGTAGGCCGGGAGTTCACGTACGGATAATCGAATTCCATGACGAAGAAAGCGTTTTCCCTCTCGATTGGTGGTCACCATCTCCGGACATATTGTACCAGTGAATCTCGCCATCAATTTAGCTGCTCTGGCAACTCTGATGCGTCTTTCTATATACCTACATGCCGGCTGTTACTACTTTTCTTCCTAGGAGAGGTCTAAACTGCTAATCGTACGATTACGTCTTCAGTTTCTAGCTACAACTCCACGGAAGCACGAGAAAGGATGATACAACGGGCTCTTAAAGGGATATTTAGCTTTTTCTACAACACAAAAAGGGTTGAAAGTTAATACCTACTCATTCTAAGGATATTTCTACCAACAAAATTATTATATTATTTTTAATAAGCTTCATTTATGATGAAAAAGAATTTCTGATCTCAACTTCTTTCTAAAAGAAAATTTTATCATGATTGCTTCCATTTCACAATACTACATTCGTGGTCCAGAAAATAAAAGAAAAAATATTCTTATAGAATGCTCTCAATTGATTGAATATGTATTAAATTTATATTAATTAATTCAATGTTTTCTTTACACTCTTTTTAGTTTAACATTCTCGAGATATAATAATTCAATTAGGTGTTTCAGCAACCACATGAGTCATTTTTTAAAATTAGTATTAATACTGAAATTACTTTCTTTTATAAATTTATTCAAATTGATTTCGATTTATCATACGATTAAATATAATCTAAGATGTCGAAAAATAAAAACATCAATAAAAAATTCCTAATGAGTGTATACATTTCTAATTATACTACAATAGTTTAATCTACTGTGTATGATGCTAATTAATTCTCTACTTTGTATCATGAGCTGTTAATAATACCATGTACAATTTTTTCGAAAAATTGTATGACATATTATCCTATAGAGCTGTCAAGTTTAACAAATAAAAAAAGATAATGAATATTTTTAAACTTCATGTCTTGTTCTTGATGGTGATGATAGAAATTTTCATATAAACGAAAATATCCTGATAATAACAATAATCCTAATGTCAAGAATTAATCAAACATCCTTGTCGAATGTACCAGACACAGACCTAAAAGATATTCAAAATAAAAATTTTATTTTCTTTCTCTCTCTCATCATCATCATCATCAGGACTAGATTTCTAACATGAATGTTATTTCAAGGATATTTTGCATTTCAGCAGCTTTCGCTCGTCCTGATGGACGACTTGAAAAAGACATTAATGTTGCTATAATGATTACTTTAAAAATTTATAAGAGCAAAAAAAAATAATTATTACGTATAACATAGTAGAATGTATAGATCCTGTACAAGTGTAGAGTGTTTTTTTACCTGGTGATGGGAATAAACGAGTATCTTTACTAAGACTTCCACAAAGACAGTAAGTTTCTCTTCTTTAACTCACCTTCGTCCCCTTTTTTCTCCAATATGATCGAACGAATGCTGATGCTCTAAAAAATATTACTCAAAGCAGGGCCACAGGCGGTTTCATGAAAGGATTCTGCTCCAATTCTTAGCGGCCATGACCTAAAAAATTATTTATAAATAAATAATAGCCGGAATTTGCACCATTCAAAAAGAAATTTAAAAAAAATTCATGATTTATATTTATGGACTCATTTAAAAGCAATGTAAATTACTTAATTTTTCAACGATAAGTGAAATGTAATTAATTAAAGTATCTAAGTATTTTAAATACTATTGATTATGTCCTTAATCTAATTATTTAGTTGAAAATTATTTGATATAATCAATAGTTTGTTATGAAATATCAAGCATATCAATTATTCACAATAATTAACGTTATTTAAATCAACTAATTAATAATAACTGTCAACTTTTAAAATACAGGTATATTTATCAGTTTTTTTAATGATTCCTTGTTCATTAATTAACTCATAAAAAAGTAGCAATCAATCTTTTTAAATCAGAGTAGTGTAAACCTAGGTATTCAATTTTATTATAACATTTTATAAAGTAATATAATTTTTAAATTAATTAAATAATATTTTAAAAGTTTAAGTTTAGAATATTAAATTACTAAATTTACAATTGAAACAAAATTCATTTTGGAGCAAAAAAAAAATTGTAGTACATCTAGAAAGCTATTAATCTTATTCTAAGGTAATATTAAAGAGCATTTATGGCTTAGCAAATCTATTCATTCGTTTTAACATCAAAAAAATAATGGATATCCAATGATATATTGCTATTTTAAAAATAAAAAAATTATTTTTAAAGTTAATGCTAAATTTCAAAACTTACTTACGATTTTATGTACATCAGCTAATTAAATTGTCTTTTATTACCATCTTTTTTTTTTATGTTTTCTGGACTTATTTATTTATATTTATCTGTAAAAAAGAAAGAAAAAAAAATATTACAGTAATGAATTTTCATCATTACGATTCATTATAAAAATTTATAGCAGAGAAGATGGTTTACCATAAAAGATCGGAAAATTCAATCTCATATGTATTTTGTGGCTTACTAAACTGATGACAATCTGAAATGATGAAAATGAGTTTGAGTCTCATACGAGAAAATTGAGGCCAGTGGTAGACATAAGTTTACATAATAAAACGCAAGAAAGAATTTCAAGTTGCATTGCAGCACAACTTAGCAAAGTATTATATGTGGTAAAAGCAAAAGAGATGAGACAGTAGGTATGAAGAGGTATATAGTCAGAAGTGAGTATAAGTCTAGGTCTAGGACACTAGAAGATTAGCAAGTGCTTCGGGATATGATGACGATGAGATCCCTGTCGTAACCGGCCCCTTCAAAATTCTCTTTATCATGCAGCAGCTCCAGATTTCTGAAGAAGGAAGAAAGAAGATTCAGAATTGGATACTTGTGAGATGTAAGAAGAGTTGGAAATCGTTGAAGAGAGAAAGAGTATTCAGTGCGCAGCTTTGAATTACTCTCACTCTTCCCCCGTCGCTTCTTCGATTCCCCACGCATCTTGCTATCCACTTGCGAGGTATAAAGGACCCAGGTGGACCTTCCTCCAAGTCAGAGCCAAAACGGCGTAGCAGTAGCAAGCATGAATCCTCTTTTCACGGTAAGATTCATTATTTTACTCAACAAGTTCTAACTTTCCTCTGACAATCATCAGTCACCATCTAAGTGATTTGTTCATTATTTCTTTTTCCAATCCAATTCTAAGAAATTATCTTTTACCAATATTCATTCTCTTAACTTGATTATCATGTTTTTTTTTGTTTATAGTGCGTAGTGATTGGTCTTGTAGGGCTTGCCCTAGCTGAGCCTCCAGTATCCTCAGGATACAACTACAATCGACCAAGTGGTGGAGGTTATTCATCAGGAGGCGGTGGATACTCCAGTGGAGGCGGTGGATATTCAGTTGGCGGTGGTTATTCTGGAGGTGGTGGATACTCCGGTGGCGGTGGATTCTCAAGTGGCGGCGGTGGATACCAACAAGTATCAACTGGTTACCAGACAAATGAAGGAGCATCAGTTGATGGTGCTCTTCTAGAACAAATCCGTCAAATTCTTTTGAAAGAAGAATCTCAATCATCATCTGGCGGTGGATTCGGAGGTTCTGGTTACGCTCCAAGTGCTAGCTATGGAGCTCCTCCAAGCTCTAGTTATGGAGTTCCAAGTTCAAGCTACGGTGTACCAGGAATTGGAGGTGGTAGAGTCGTGGGAATTGATCTTGAAGGTATCAGACAAGCCATCCAGGTAGCTCAATTTAACCAAGTTAGCCAAGGATCATCTGGTGGTGGTTATCCAAGTGGACCATCAGGCAGTTATGGAGTCCCTTCTGGAAGTTATCCAGCACCAAGCAGGCCAAGCGGCAGCTACGGAGCTCCTTTCTAAAGCTCTAACATTCAAGATATAATCCAAGACACTGACCATTTCTTTAATTGATTCTTCTACATGGACGCGGGCGTTCTCCAGTAGAAAAATCTCTTAAAGGTATCTACATGTCATCTGGAATTAATTATCAAGTGTTTTGTCATCATCAGTGTCCCAGGATAATTTTAACGAAATTTCATTTGAGGAGAGAGAGTCGTCGAACGTTTTTTTTAAAAAAAAATAAAATCCGTGGATTAATTTAAAAAATTTTTCCACGATCATAAAAAATGAGAAGATGAGTAGAAGATGAGGAGAATGATAGTGATTTGCGTTTAAGAACGCAACTTGTAAATATACAATTACACACGCTTACACAAAATAAAAAGAAAACAATTGGATTCAACACGTTGAAATATACATTACTTTAATCAGCCAGTCTCAAGATTTCTCTGCATGAGAAGCAAAAAGGACACACTTGTGATGCAACACCGGAAGTTCTTGAGCAAAAAAAGGAATTGCAAGTCTTATTCACAAGAGTGAAAATACCTTGAGAATAAGTCTTGATAATAAAAATGCTAGCGGTCGAACTTAGGGCATTGAATTCGAGATCCGCCATCATTTTTAATTCCATCAACTTTTTATATGAGATGATAATAAGAAAAAAATATATTTCAACGTTTGAAGCTATTGTATACACAATTACACTATTTTTCTACCTATTTACTCTTAACCAAGCATTTTTTATACTTGTATAAAGGCTTTTTTGTAGAAAACAAAAAAAATAAAAAAAAATATCGCCACCGTTAAAAGAAATTCTTTTCTTTGTCTTTTTATTATTTCAATTATTCTTTCTGAATCCTTTTATTTTATCCTTACTTCATTTTTATCGACAATATAATTGAGTTGCTTTATTAGATTTTTTTTATCGACTGCCTTTCTCTCCTTTCACTCTTTGAGCCAATGGTGAACCTCTAGAGCTGATCAACGATCGTCTCTTCCTTTTGCTGGACATGACGTAAATTCAAGCGACATCAACTGCACACTGCTTGCCCCAACAAGGAAGGAAGGACCTTAGTTGTGAAATCCAGTTAAAGATTCGAAAGTAAATGGTTACGAGGTAACATTAATGTCGAGCAGTAACACATTACTGTTTTCTTTTTCATGATAATATCGTGTCCTCGAATGTTACCATTTTTTCCTTTTTTTGTTCACTTTCAGGAACGTCTCGAAACGTTAAATGGAAAGCAATTAGTAAAACTAGAACGAACATTGGCCTACGCAATCATTACGTGTCTTGAATGTGAAATGTTGAAAAGTGATCTTCTTCATGAGGGATGGAATAAATTGTAGATGAAAATTAGAAATTATTACCAGTAAATTACGTTGAAATTGTAAATGGTGATGTTTAAATTGAGGATCATAAATTATTGAAATCCTTATTCGGTTGATTTCTTCATACAATTAAATAACTCAATTCCACCAATTTGGTTTAAGTGAAAACAGAAGACAGATAATTGTGTAAAAATTGGAGTTGAGTTATAAAAGTGAAATTTAAATAAATTTTTTATGAATATAAATTCATTCTTTCAATCAAAAAAAAAATATATTTATTAAACCAACAACTGCATTACCTTTTTAAGGCAAAAAACAGTTAAAATTGCAACACATTTTGAGGAATCCATGATTGTAGTGATCAAAGGAATTTTTTACACGTTAAAATACTTCTATAATTGTGTAAATAATTACTTAATTTCTGATAAAGATTTGTTCAAATGTATTATTGCCAATTTCATTCATTTTTCTATTCCCTATTCTGTGTGCTACTCTACTCAATATCATCAATCATTTGAATCAAAAATAATGATGCAAAATTGAAACAGATCAAATGAACATTAATAAAAAAAATATACAGAAGCAGTTACCAGATCCACATAATCATTATTCATTCATCTTTTATACTAAAAAGTACCTTTCTTTTCATTATTTACATCATCCATAATCCCCTCTCAACCTACAGGAGTGAACGCACATTGCGTTTGCAAACATTTCCCTTCATTTTATGTTGATCCTTTTTTAGAAATGAAGACGGTATATGTTATCTATATTATAATAATAAATATTAATTATATTTATTATTTTATCTCATCCTGCTATCATTCAAAAATATAAACGAATTTTCAGTGGATCAGTAAAGCTACAATTTATAGAATTACATGATAATTTAAGTAAAGATTCAATTGTTTTGGTATGGTAATATTCTGTAATATAATATAATCTATTGGCGAAAGTATTGCAGAGAGCGTGAGAATTTAAGAGCAATTTTGCAACACGTACATAATTTATCAACATAATGAGAATCTTAGCTGTTAAATTATGCGAAATAATAAAGAATGTGAGACCACAGTACGTTCTAATTACTGATACAAATTAAACAAATTAGGTATTAAAATGGTTTAAGTTTTGAAATTGTAATTTACTTGGTATTTTTATGTGAGAAAAATCGTTCCAACGATTAAATTTTTCGACATAAAAATCATCATATCGAATATCTAGAGTAGAAAGATTTAATTGTGAATAATTAATGAATAAAAAATATATAATAAAATTAATAGCTTACTTTTCTGTAAAATCATCTTCTCTACATTTATTATCAGCCATTTTCCGCTTAATTCATATTCTATAGAATGGATATTAATTTTGAGAATATTCTTTTGTTTATCAAAAAATATTTATTAATATTAAGATTATCTTCTCCAGATTTATTACTTGTTTTAATTATTATTATAAATAAATTGTTCTTATCAAATTAACAATAATAATTCACAGCCATTTATCCAAGTACTAATTTAATAACTATTGTTATAGTATTAAGAAATATCAAAGGAACTGTAACAAAAAAAAGATTAAATTTAAAAAACTGATTGATTAAATATAAAAAAGTTACAAATTGATAATAATAATTGTCTTACATCTTGCAACTGTTCTGATAGACCTGACAAGATTGAGCATCTGAGATTTTATTGTCGGAGGTTCTCCAAAGCCTTGAATGTTTTGCCTTGCACCCCAACCAACTGAAAATATGAATCAACTGTTTTACTAAATAATAGCAATAAAGAATTATGACATGTTGCAGTGAGAATTGCATAATTTGACACGTGAGCAAAACAATGACAGTAAGGAAATTTAGATAACAAGTTCTATGAATGAACATCATTCATTTTTATATTTTATCTAAAGAAAGATAATAATACATAAAACTTAGTTTTCTCATTATTAATTAACAACCAAATACATAAACAATGTGAATTACAGCAACATTTTGGTTAATAGCATTATTCAATCAGCAACATATGTAAAGTATTGAGGTTAAATGTTTTTTTTTTTTAAACATCTTCACAGATGTTTTGTATGGATGTTAAAGGATAATATTTAGATAAAAATTATTTTACTACTTACCTTTTACGAGAAATCTTTCCTCATGGAGAACACAAATAGCATTCAAACATAAAAGAGCAGCTTCGAATAATGTCCATAATGTGAATGCCATTATAAAAATATAAAAGTTGTGATGTAGTTTATAAACTTGATGAACAAGAATCCCAATTTTATTATTTTCAATTATTGACGCTTGCAAAACGATTCTTGATGTATTATTTGTCAATAATTTATCATGCTTTTCAAGAAAACAATCTTCTTGCTCGTATTTGATAGTTGTGAATAGGATGGACTATAACCCTGTATATAGATAACCGGCTTACTTCCTATAGATTATTCGCACATGCGCTCCAAACGAAAATAACATTCAAAATAACCTTACAAAAATGTTTCTAAACGTTTTAAACTTGTGTAAACATGATGCTGTAAATTATTAATTGGTTTTTATTATATTAAGCACCACTGTCTGTGCAAGAAACAATGATGATTGGTCCAATTAGAACATATACCAAATTAGCCGCAAGGAAAATAAAAAAAATTCGGCCACCATCAATGATAAAGAAGCCAAGAAAATCTCAACTTGAGCCAAAGCCTAGTAAGGACAATTTTTGTATTATTTCAATAATTTTATTTTAAGACAGTGAATAAATAATAGCTCCATCAATTACTGTTGTAATTGATAATTTATTGAGGTTAGTTTTTAATTAACAGTCGTTCAGTATCCTGTAAGTGGACCAGACGATCGCCGGCTCTACTCATGGGGATTAGCAAACCATGGAGCTTTAGGAACTATCGGACGTACTACCAAGTATGAAGATTATAATTTTATTACTAAGCCAAGACGATTATATTTTGGAGAACACCATCATGTCAGAGATATTGCTTGTGGATATGGATTTACACTAGTTGGTGTTCACTCCAAAGATACCGATATTGTTTATGGTTGTGGAATTAATACAGATTCTCAATTAGGCTATGATGATAATGACAAAATATTCAACCAAATTAAAGATGAAATTATTCCCATTTTGCGGTCAATTCCTTTACCGATTAAAAGTAATTCAACAAAAGTACTTGGTTTAGCTGCTGGAAGAGCACATTCTATCATTCTTACTAGTGAAGGAGTTTTTACGTTAGGAAATAATGGGTATGGACAATGTGGTCGAGTGATAATTGGCAATGAAAATTATTATCGTAGCAGAGTAGTTAATCACATCAAAGATATCAAAGGTGCTAAAATAACCGCTGTGGCTGCTGGACAAGATCATAGGTAATATTTAATTTTCATTCAATAACTCAATTAAAAATATCCACTCATAAGTATTTTAAAAAATGTTAAATTATTGTTATAACAGTATTTTTTTAACTGAAAATGGCCAAGTGTACACTTGTGGTTGGGGGGCAGATGGTCAAACTGGACAAGGTCACTATGAAAATCGATGGAAACCAGATTTAGTTATAGGAGATTTGGCTGAAGACAAAATTAGTAAAATTACTTGTACTGGTGATTGTGTTCTTGCTCTTAGTGGTAAGAAAGATTACATATTACTCATTCTTATTAATATATTCATAAACAATGCCAAGTAAAAGATGTTATTTTGTAGAAAGTGGAAAAATCTATGGATGGGGAAATTCAGAATATGGCCAATTACCAAATCGTGGAGACGATAATTTTCAAATAAATACTGCAATTGAACTCTCAGATTGTGCTAAACTTGGAAAGATAATAGATATTGCTGCTGGTGGTAGCTTTTGCATGTTATTAACAGGTATAGAAGTTTTTTTAATTAAGTAATTTTAATCATTAACAATTAGTCATTCATAATTGAATCTAATTTGTACAGAGTCTGGTGATGTTTATACTTGGGGCCATGGTATTCTTGGCTTTGGACCACAAGTAACGCGAGTATCAACACCAACTTTAATTCCTAATACATTATTTGGTCGGAATCCTTATCAAACAGATATTAAAATTACCAAAATATTTTGTGGAATGAACCATATGGCTGCTATCACCAATCACGGTGATCTCTACACTTGGGGTCGAAATACATATGGATTCCTTGGATTAGGTCATTATAAAGATCAATTCTTTCCTTTCAAAGTTGCAGTCGGAGCAGAAGTAAAAAAGGTTGCTTGTGGTGTTGATCATACATTCGCAATTTGCAAGCCTTATATTTAGTTGTATCATTTGTTAATAGATGAAATATATATTTTTTATTAAATTAACATGCTTGATATCATACAATTCTATGAAACAGATCATGAGAAATAAAATTAAATTACCTATTACTTTGTGATTGTATATAAAATTCTGTAGAACAATTCAGACTATTAGTAGAAATTTTATTCTCAGAGACTGGAAAAGGTAAAAATCATCACAGTATAAAAGACTTAAGAAAAAACTTCTTCAACACACCCAAAGTTTTGTTTAACTCTTTATGTATTATACCTGCACTGAACTTATCTTATCTTCGGCATAGAAACTTATCACAGTCGGTTGATTCATTAGCTGAAAGTTTGTAGGGTGAACTAGATGTTGAGACATTTTTTGCTCCAATATTTATTAATAGAATCAGTAATAATGGCAAGAAAAATTATTTATTTATCATTATTAATAAACAATATAATAGTATATTTTGGAAGTAATTTAGTAAATTGTCAAATTCGAAGAATTCCACAATATTTAGAAGAATGTTATTTAAACGAAACATTTTACGGACCTCAATTGCCTTTGACATTACCAATATTCATTGACATAGTTCGCAAAATTGAGGCATATTCTCACGATACAATGGATTTAAGAACATTAACATCATCAATGTTACATAGATTCAAGTTTGACGGAATAGAGTTTCATAAAAATATCAATTTCAAACCAGGAATTTTGCCATTTGGTGGAACAGGATCACAACGTACAAAGAATGAAATTGTTAATAAATTGATTCCAGGTAGTGTAGAAATTTTTCCAGATCATTCACTGAGTCTATTAGAACGCTGTACTTTGCATCGTATTTTGTCAAATACAATCAGTGAGGCTGAGTCACCACAAACAGATCAATTGTGTGCTGAAAGGCCAACAGAAAAAATTCTGGGTTCAGGTATATTTTCATTAATACATCCGTAAAAATTGATTTAATTTTTTGCAAAATGACATGAAGGTATTCAATAAACATTTAACTTTTATTTTAGAAAATATAAGACAGAAGAAGATTTGCCCCACTGAACAAGGAGTTATTTTAACTCCATTTAAAACTGTTACTCTGGGATCCATAATAGCAGCTATGGCAGCAGCTCTGCAGCATCAAAATGTTGCAGTGAAACTTTTATTCGATACAGTTTCATCATCTGCTAATTCTTCAGTTGCTCCACCTCATTCTGATGAATTTAATGAAGAAGTGGATATCATCTTACCAAGGAATCAGATGCTTTTGAACAAGTCTATGTCACTTAACTCTTTGATCAACTCAGATGTAGAAGTAGATAATATTTGGTTAGCTACAATTGCTGGTAAAAATAGTTTGAAAATACAATCCATTTATTAAATTAGATATAAAACAATTGAATGTTTTATTGAAATGAAAAAATACTTATGGTTGAAGGGGAATTAGCAGAGTTGGTTGTTTATCAAGGCCCTCTAGTAGGTTCTGAAATGATTTTCGGTTCAGCAGGATTTTGGAACAGCACAATGAGACCACAAATATATTATTTAGTACAAACGAATGATGACTTTGATGTTACTAGAGCAGAAATTATTGGAGCAATTGATGGTATGGTTTCATGATCAAACCAATTAATTATCAGCAAATTTATGTTAATTCAATTTTGATCATAAATAGGTTTTATCATAGCAAAACATCTAAAAACATGGCTTTCTCTTTTCAATAACTTGAGATTGAGTCAGATACTAGACATGTACTACTCATCAAGAGGTTTCCTTTCTGACTCAGTTGGAGCCTGCAAACGAAAGTATGCTTTCTGGCCAGTAGCTTCGAGAACTATTTTGGAAGAGCAGGTGAATGAAATCTTCTAATAATTCAATATTGGAGCTCATTATTCATTGTGAATGATTTAATCCTAGGTTTTTGCAGCATCTCAATTATTAGCTTACAAAAGAAGTGTTGCTCACATGACCAATGAAGCTTTAAAAGAAATAACGACATATGCTGTCAAAAAATTCACCAATTATGTAAATAACCATCTATTTCCTGAAATTAACTGTCCAAAGGACAAAATATATCCTCGTGCTGAAATTTTTGTGATTTTTGATGGTGCCTGGTCAAGAGAATACACTGCAGATTTTTTTGCGTAAGAAATAACTCTTTTATTTTTTAATATGCAACGCTTGTGATATAAGCATTTTAATTTTATCAAATATTTTTACAGTGTATTACTAGAAGATCTGAATATTTCTAAATTTGGTTCTAAAATTGGATTTCTTCATGGAACTACAGCAGAATGGCTTCTCAATATCACAGATAGTCCTTCTAGAGTTCATGAAGAATTTATTTCACAACTAAATTCAATTTTCTGGCCAACTTACTTGAATTTCATGAAGAATTTTCAACTAATGAAGACATATTTAACAGAAAAATGGGCAGAAAAACAAAGAAATCATTCAATAGGAAGCTTAAGTCAAGTTCTGATTTTTTTAACATCTCAAGGTATCCAAACGGAGCATGATGAACTTGATCAAATGATTAATTCAATGAAGGATTTTAAAGAAAGTCATCCTGACGTGAATTTATTATATTATACAAGTGAAAAACATTCTGAGAGTTTGAAAAAATTTTTAATATCTGAAGAAGATCATGTTATTGATACTTTGAAAATAAATGATATTAGTCGAAAACTTTTAGAGGTTCCAAAAAGTATAAGGCCAGCTTTATGTAATCCAAATGTTACCAATGGAATAAGAGATCAAGTTGAAGACTACATCAAACCACAAGAAGTTATAACATATCGATTGGATCCTCAATGGAGAATTAGAACGAAACAAGTTATTACAACTGTTACATCTTTTGCTTATGGTACTCTAGAAATTTGTTCATGGAGTCAAATGAGGAATAGTGTGAAAAAAAATAATTTTAAATGTGGAGAATTATCAGGACATTCAGAAATGAAATTGATGGATTTTTTTAATTGTAAAAAAAATTTCAACTGTCCTGCTATGTTTTACCAAATTCGAGGAATAATTTCTCAAAAAAAATGCGCAGGTAATTTAATATTCATTTTTTCCAACTATTCCTTCTTTAACTTAATGAAAAAAAAACTCATACGTTTTTATTTTTTAGAAATTGACTGCAAATCACCAGATTATATAAGATTTTTACTACGTTTAGAAAATCTCCAATGCTCGAGTGCTAAAATTTTATTATCTAATTTATCAATAATTTTTTTATTATTTTTATTTATATATTTTCTATAAAATGCTTTTTATTTAAATAAAATTTTTTACTGTTATTAAAAAAATTGAAACAATTGATTTAGAAATTTTCTCAATGTTTTTAATCAATCATTATTAAAGTATAAATTTTTTTAAACATATATTTTAATTAACATAGTTCATTTTGAAGATGGTAAAAATCTTTGTGAGGCATATTCGTAGGTTAATTTAATGAGAAATTGGAAGTTACTTGAATCCGCTAAACTGCCAAGAGTCGGTTCCATTAGTAATGAATCAATTGGTGGAAACAAACCACCGTTTAAATCACCTGGAACAAAAACAAAATTGAAACAAATACTGAAGTTTACTCCATGCAAAAATTATTTTAAAAAAAATTTACCCATCACATGAATTAGCGAAATTAATTTGAAGAATAAAGTTTCTTCAATTTGTTGCTCTGGATTTTTAGAAACAGTATCCCATTTATCATGTCTTGCTAATCTTGCCCATGTTCTCAGTCTTAATGCCTCTTTTTCATTTTCATCTTCAATATAATCCAACAAATCCAAAGCTTTTTTGAAATCAAATTCGTTAACAAGTGTATTTTCATCACATGTATATAACTAAAAAATACAAATAATTAATTATCTATTTTTTACAATATAAAAATAATAATTTATTTTAATAAAATCAATACTAACATTAATTAATTCCGTTGGAGTCAAAACTCTCAATTTATTGACGTTGTATCCATAATTTTCCAGTACAGCATCAGGGATTTCTTCTTGATACGCTATTAATTCCAATTCCTTATTAATTCCTTCACAATTATCTTCAATATCATACGGATCATCGTTAGAACAAAGTAATGCCAGTTTACTTAAGCTTAACATTGTTTTTTTTCTCTTCACCAATTCTACTTCTTTTAGAGCCAGAGAATGAAGAGTATTCGCAGCTAATCTAAATTCGTCTGTTAAAGAAGCTTGAACCCAAGAAATTTCTGGATGCTCTGATACTTTTTCCATTAAATCTCCACCACCTCTTCGACATCTTTCAACCAACTGTCCTTGTCTTCCATCTTTTAGATACCAATTAAATAAAAATCCCGCAAAATCATGAGAAGCAAATTTTTCTGAGTAAACATCAAGTCTATTTTTATTATTAGTAAGTTCACAAATGTTTACCAATGATGCAAAATCGCAATATTTTTCAGCAAGCTTAGCAGCATTCTCATACTGTTCATTTTTTATTAAAGGTTGAATTAAATTCGTTCTTTCATTTTCATACTGTTTCAAGAGAACTTCAAATTTATCTGATCCACGAATGCTTTCTAAATGGCACTTTCTACCATCTAGGATCAAATCAATGAGACCAACGATTTGATTATAAAGTTCTGTTATCAAAGAGGAATCATTGGTTCCAGTAACTCCATGCTTTAAAGTTAAATTATACAAAGTATGAAGACATGTTCTCAGTTCATTTTTACCAGTAGCAGCTGTCCATGGAAGATACTCTGTTAAAGCATTGGAATTTCTAGCAGGAACATAGCGTTTAGCATTTGCTTGGCGATACTTAATTACTTCATCTAAAATTCCAAGCATAATAGAATTAATTTGAAGTAGGTATTGAGATATAAGATGGATAGGTTTATCCGATTGTGTCACTTCGACTGCACTATTAACTAAATTAGGAAGAAGTAGATGAATAGAGCTAACTTCACGATAGAAAATATCTTTCGCTGTTAATTCATTCGACACAAAAGACTCTGGAGTTAAAGTGGCTTCAATTATCGGATCCAAAATATCAGGGTATCGATTTTGAAGGTTATAAATAGCAATCGCAGCTACAATCTTTTCTGCATATTCTCCAAGCACATGAGAAGTCGCCATGATTATTCCTCGATAAGTTACCGCAGAAAATCTGCTCCAAAGATTATGTTCTTTTAAAAAATTGACATAATAATTTAAAGCCTGTTGTTTTCCTTCAAGTTGATGAGGAATTTGCATTGATCTAACAGTTGTAAGTGTCAGTGAAGTGTCCATACAATTGGCCCATCGTGGATCATTAGGCGGATAATCATCAATTAGCTTTTGAGCGACTTTTAAAACTAGAGTATCCAATATAGCATCAATATCCATAACTGGTTCGTCTTCTAAAGGAAATAACTCAGCTAAAATTTGTTCACACTCTGTTTTAGAATGTGTATATCTATTATCTTTTAAGCTGAGTAAAAATGCAGCTTTCAGTTGTTCAATACCATCAGCAGAGTAATACATCTCTCTAATGCGATCATTTGAAATCGTCATGGTTAAATTATCAGAAAAATTATCATTAGGAATAACTTCCATAGTACTATTGACTTCTGCATAACTGGAATTAAAATCTGGAGATGTAAAGTCATTAGTTGGAATAATTGTAACTAGTCCGAGATTTCTAGTAAATAATACAGGAGTATTGGAGCACAAATCTCCACCGAGAATTCTATCTTCTCCACCTCGAACCAAGTCTATCTTGTCTTGCTCCAGTTCATTAGTAATATTAACAGTTAAAACAGTCGAAAAGTTATAAATGATTGCTTCCCATCCAGAAAGAATGAACCTAAAAGAAGATATCACAGTATCTACATCATCTTGGTGTAGGAATGGTCCGATTTTAATGGGAATAAACCACTTGAAAGAATTAGTTAGAGACGTGCCAGTTAATGGAAGTAATCCAAGAGCGAATTGGATCTGAGGTGATATATCAGCACAGTGGGCAGCTACTAAAAGAATTATTCCATCATCAGATGTTTGCATGTCGATTAACCAAGTTTCCATGTTTTGAGGATTTGCAATATTTGATTCCCAGATTTTTCTTTGGAATGCTTGAGAAACTACATGACCAACGTCTTCATCAAATTCCATTTTTTCTTGTTCGTTTAGAGGAAAGGACCAGTATTGAAGAGAAGATCCGGCAAGAATTAAAACTCTGGAACCTCGATCTCCAAAGCTAGTACAAGTGACTTTTGCTAGTTTAGTTTCTGTGACTGGAGATTGTGGCATTGCACCAAATATCAATGAAGACATTCGCCTTCCAATGCCTCCAAGCCATCCTTGGCTAGTTCTTAATACTCTACATGATATACTATTTCTCCCACTATTAAACTGAGGTTGAAGTAGAGCAACAGTGCAAGTAGTTGTTGCTAAAATACATCCATGACCTGGAATATGAGTTAAACAATCGACTTCTTGGCCTGCCAGTTCTGCACTAGTTTCAACAGATGTTTCTTCGTGAGCTACACTTGGCCAATAGCGCACTATACCTTCTGGAGACACTGCCATACAACTAGGTACTTGGTGGCCTGGAGGAACCCAAACCACAATGCAATCAGCTTTATGTGCCAGGTCACTTTGAGGTAATAAAAGTTCTCTGCATTGACTTTTAAAAGCATGACGTTGTTTTGGATCGTGAATTGTGGTTTTACATTGCCAAACTAATAATCTTCTGCCACAAACTAACCAGGCCCAACCATTATGGGAAATACTAACACTTACTTCCGCACTTCTGTCAACAAATGTGAGAGCTTCAGTTACTAGAACTGGAAGAGAAGAACCAAAACTCTCGACTACGTGAGCTGAAGATCGATAAATTACTTGAACTGATTGATTTGATCTACCAGACACACTGACGGCGCTAAAAAAATATATTTAATTAGACATGATAAAATAAATAAAATATTATTGCTTTATTTCATTTTTTTTTTACCTATTTTGACGCTTTAATGATTGTGCTATGGACATTCCTCTAGGACCTCTTGGTGAGGATATGCTGCGACCAAGCAGACTTCCAATGCTCTGACGATCCATTATTTAACAATAAATATGAATTACTCGAATTTATTTAAACTTAAGAAATTTTTAGAAAACACTTGATGAGTTTTTATTAATAAATACTATTTTATTATTAACATCAAAATATTTACGCGCCGGTTTTTCTAACCTTACTTAAATTCATCTATCAATCAATATAAAGTAGTCTTCAAAATACATTTATCTTTCACTTGTAAATCTTTTTTATCAAGAAACTCCGAATTCGATAGACTTAAAATACAAATTTACTCTGTATAATTTAATAAATTATTTATATTCAGTATAAAATTGCATATTGACAATGTAAACACACGCTCAACACACACGCACAATCATCTGAATTTCCCAGAAGATGGCGTGCAAATGGACTTGAATTATATTTAAATTTTCCCGCTCAATTGTATTTATTCAGTCTTACCAATAAATAATTGAAATATTTAATTTTTTTAAATAAAATCTTCATTTTAAATTGTCGAATTGAAATAAAATGAATTTTAAATAGATTAACATAACAATTTTCGTTGAATTTATTTTATTTACTCAAGAAGAAATAAAAAAAAAATTGATGGTCAATGAATGCTTGAATTGATTACTTTAAATACAGAGCGAATGAAAATTTATTTTATCCTAAAATATAATAAAAGCATTTATTTGAATGTAATTAAAAATTATCTGATATAATTGTTAAAAATATCTGTCAATTACATGCAAATAATCATCTCAGATATTTTTAGATGTTTACAAAGTTGGCAATTTAGTAAATAATAACCTCAAAATGGCGCAAAAAATGTCCTTGTCGAGCGCTGAAGAGTGGAATTGTGTACTGGAAGATTCTTATAAGAATTTTATCTAATCTAGATGTGTCTTATCTAACAACTCATCTTAAAATTAACTGAAAAGTTAATAAACAAATATATTAAACGATTAAGATTATTTCTTTCGACTAAAAACAATTTCAGTATCTTTGTTGTAAAGAAGTCATCATAATTTATTTACGCTGTAAATAGCTATTTCAAGTTAATTCAAGTACCATACAATTTATTTATCAAGGCCTCATGGATAGTTTTTCCGCGCCAAGATATGAAGGCAAAATCGAAACGTTCGAACCTTGTATTATTGATGTTCAATCACGAGATTTAAATCACAGTGTTGATCAATCACATGTTATATCTGACTGTGACCAGGAAAATCATGAGAATGAAATTTCAATTCACGAAGAATCTGATCAACCTATTCAAGTTTCTTCAATCCAAGTACATAGTCAGCAAAATGTCACTTTAACTCCTGTCAGATTACCGGCGCTTCTTGATGGAGAATTCTTTTGTGTAGTGAGGATTGATGATAGCAATGTTACAGTTAGATGCCTCCAATGTCAAAAACTGCTCAATGGTAATCTTAAATCTACTGGAAACTTTTTAAGTCATTTAAAGGTACAACAAAAGAACATTTTTTAATAAATAATAACATAGAATGATTAATGTTAGTGCTTTTTTTAAATTTAATAGAGAGTCCACCCGATGATGATTGAAAAGATAAAATGCAAATCAAATCAAAGAAAACCAGCAATAGCTTACGTCGATTTATCTGCTGATAAAAGTCCAGAGGTTATTAAAACTAAAAAAGGATACCGAAAATGTTATAAATCGGTAAGTAATACAATTATATTTTTACTTTTGTTAAGAAAAAATTCCCTTTATTACTAAAATTAATATAAAATCTTTACAAAAATCGAAAGTTATACTCCAAAAGTTTTCTTTTAACGCTTTTATTAACGTGATAATAGCTTCCTTTAGTTTTTGAATATTTAAATTTAAATTCCTATAATAAATAAATTTTTCATTTGTAAAAATAAAATATAGATTATAGAGACAAATCGAAGAATAAAACGATATTTAATTAACAACAAATTATTGTAATCGTAGAACATTTTAAAATTATATTTCTTTAAGAAAATTATTATTGATTTAATAGGATGACAATCAACCAAATGGTGAAAGTGTACCTGAACAACCTTCAAATAACTGGTCAGAGCCTCCATCTGCTAGAAAACGTAGAATTGATGAGAATGATTCAACATCAGAGATAAATAAATTTCCTCAAAACAATTCATTCGTTATAGAAGATGAGTTTGATGCAATTGGTAGAAATGTCGCAGCTAAATTGAGAAATATGCGTTTAGATCAACGAATAGTTGCTGAAAAACTTTTAAATGATGTACTATTTGAAGCACAACTTGGAACACTTCACAGAAATTCAAGTCTTCAAGTTTAGTTTGTCGGAAAAAATTCGTCGAAAACATTATTTTTGACTACAAAATTTTTTTATATCAAAGCTTATATATATATAGACTATAAAACATGTAAATAATATTAAAAATGAAATTGTATTTGATAATAAATAACGATTAAACAGCTGCCAAGTTTGTATATAATATATATGATGCAAAAGTCTCTTCGTCAATGGGATCACAATCTTTTTTGAATATAAAATTTAATCTATCACTAAGTTATATAGTTTTAATTAATAGATACATTATTTGTATAAATGATTTTTATGCACAACTATTTTTTATAATAATAAACAAATAATCCTAATGTTTAAAAAATTTTGTTCAAATATTCAATTCCATTTTTGTAATAACTCTAGCTTGATCATTTTTTATGAAAATGAATTAATTTAAAAAATTATACTATATCTTATCTTTAAGGAATCTAATTTATTAAATATTTTTATGTTCACTATAATTTCCTAATAATTAGTAGTAATTATTTATAGTTGCCTCATAAATAATTTGAAAGTACGTGCAAGTGCTATGTATCAGTCATTATTCAAATACTGTATAACAGAATCTTGGCTGGCTTTTAAATGATAATTAAATAAGCTCTCGTCTTCATAACAATTGCTTTAAACATAAATTATTTATTTAATAAGTTTTCAATCTTCTATTTTCAATAGAAAATTATCAAAAATTAAAAAAAAAAAAATTGGACGTTAATCAGTCTATTGTAATACAAGTCAATATAATTAATCAAGAAGTAATTAAAAATCGAATTTCCGTTGATCTGAATTATTATAAATAAAAGAAAAATTTAAATTTCATCACAAGTTAACTGAGATTAAATTAACTTGCATAAATACGTCGAATACCTGGTTTTAAGAGAACATAATAAACAGTTGTGGACAAAATACAAAGACCCATACTGATAAAAATAGCATAAAACATATAGGAATACCAAAAGCTATCCCAATCATTCAAAGTGAACCATGTAACAGTTATCACCGTATTCTGAAGAATGACAAACAAGTAGTAAAAGAGAATCCATTTTTCTGCGTACCTAAACTTGACTCGGTACTCAATAAGACTAATAATATAAACAAGTCCAAGCCAAAGATTGACGATAAAGGTGGTGATATTGAAATCTTTAGCATAATAGAAAAGATAACTCAACATGAGAATATAATGAATACCAAGAATCCCGATAGACCAAATGGGATAGAATTCATAGAACAAAGCAATAGCAAACACTCGAGCCAGAATGAAAAAAAACCACCAGATAAAAGAAACCACTTTTCCTATTGGATCATCTTCATCAACAGCTTTAATAGAATATATTCTTTTAGGAAGCTTTAATTTGTTCCACCTGTTCGGAGATTCTTTAGCATCTTCGTTGACAATATTTTCTGTTGATTTTCCTGATGTCTCAGCTTCATTCTCTGGACTGTCTTTGATTATAGAATCAGGACGAGGAGGAGCTGGCATTTCTGGAACAGGAAGAGGTGTGACGCTTGTTATTCCTCGTAGAGGAGTTGGTGGAGGAAGCATCTGAGCATTTTTAGGTGGTAACGGTGGTGTTGATGATATCTGACGCTCTAGTGTTATGCGGCCCAGTTCTACTTGCTGAGCTGGTGGACTTGATTGATCTTCTGTATTAGATGTTATGACTTTTACCTCAGAATCTTGACAATTTTGATGATTTTCTGATTTCAAAGGTTTATTTTCTTCTAAATTTCCAAGTTCCTAAATAATTTAATTATTATTAACATACTTCCATGCATTATATATAAGTAGTAATAAATTATATTAATTACCTGGACACGATATTTTTTTAACCACATTGCCCATGGCAATTTTCGTCCATTTATTCTTTGGCTTTCAAATCTTTGGAAGGATGTTGTCTGAATAGCCAAAACGACTATTGATATGAGAATACAAAGGACATGAATAACAACTGAAAAAATAGAAATGAATCATGAATTTTAGCAGAATAATGTGGTCATTATAAAGGATATTGTGGTATGATATAATTAAATTTTTAATACCATTATTATAATCAACCACATATTAATTTATACTCGAAATATATATACATAGTTTTAATAATAAAAATACCTGATTGATATGTTCGTTCAGTAGTACGCTCTCTGAATAATAAATGTATCTGAAATATTGCTTGAGGGGCTGCTTGGAACCAGGCTTGAAGAAAGAAATAAAGTTCTATTGCTGCAGGAGCTGCTGCGATGCTTAAAGTTTTATTCCGCTCTTCTCCACTCAATAGAATTGAATCTACAATTACTACAATTTGTCCGGCAAACCTACAATCAAAGTGAATAGTTGATATGCTAACTATCTTCTTGAATTTAATTAAAAAATGCCATAAATTATCATCATAATTTTGATAAAATAAAATAAATAATATTTATAAATGTATAAAACAATTTTAAATTACCTGTACAATGCAAAAAGTGGAAAGGCAATAAGCTGACAGAGTTGGAAAGTCAACCAGACAAAAATTCCTTTAGATACTTTTTGATCTTCAGTCATCCACCAATCAGGTCTGGAGACAGTTAGAATAAAATATGCGATAGCTGGTGCGTACATAAAGACAATCGTACAGGAACCCCATATCGGATTTTCCTCCCGGAAGTGTTGAACAGCAACCACAAGATCTGCCGCGAAGTGGAGCATATAAACACAGCAGCTCAGAACCGCAGGTATTAAGAAAACCAAATAAATTTGCTCCGTAGAGTTCAAGGGAATTTTCAAACATCTTGTTGATTTTTTTGTGCAAACAGGATCCTTAACCATTGCCATTTATTTAGTATTTATATACTAGGTCACTTTATTTAATTAATATTTCAATTACTATTTAGTTTATAAATGGACTAAATTACTAGTTTAATCATCGATTAATTACATAGATCATCAAAAACTTGAACTTTAGTAACTTAAATTAGAATATTTGTAGAACGGTCATTTATTTCATTAGAAAAACTTTGAGTTTTCACCATCACTAATACCACTACTTAATCACCTTCAATTGTTACATTATCTTGACGAAACACTGATAAAAATGATTCACTGCACACGGATTGAAATCACAATCAGTCTATTTCATATTCTTCGTTAAATATAACCACGATTTTATGATTAAGAATAGGTTTCTTCTTTCACAACTTTTGTGATAAGTGTTCTAAAAAAAAAAATAAAATTGGATTAACATAACGACAATTTAATTAAACTAATTAGTATTGTTGTCATTAAAAATAGTGAAAAAAGATATTTAATGAGATCTATGCTATTTATTATCTCCAAGACATTCTTTAATTCTAATTTAAGAAAATTTTATCAACTAAAAAAAAAAAAAAAGATGTTCATAACAAATAAACATGTGTATTTATTTATTCACTGAATAATATTAACCTAATTGCTTATTCAAACTGTGAACTGTAAAAAGATTTATTTATTATTGATTTTACATTGAGTTATGAAATAAATTAAATTAAATATGAAATTTATAACCAATTTCTATCATTAACATTCATTTTTACAAATTAAAATACAATCTTTTATATAAAACACTTCACCTTAAATAATTATAGCAAACTTGGCTGTGTAATGAATAATCAAGAATGAAAAGATTAATTAAGAATTGTAATTGAAATGTAAATAAAGTTGGATAAATAACATTTAAATAATAAAACCAAAACAAACCTTATTTAAATTCCGTAACTCAACACATTCATTGGAATCACTTATTAAATGATGACTTAAAAGAATATTATTTTCACAAAATGTTGTTTATGTAATCTCAATAATTTTTCTAAACTCAGTTATTGAGATAATTGTGTGAAAAGTATGATTTTTGACACTAAAATAAAATGTTTCACTTTACTTAACACAGAACGTAACACAAAGTGAAGTCAAACAAACTATGAAAACAAGTCACTAACCTTGGTAGAATCCGCTCAACACCTGGAGAGCAGAGTAACTAGTATCTCCTTGTATATCTCAAGATAACTCGTTCAGCTGAACGAATTAATGTCCCATGTGTGCAGGAAATGTTTCAGCTGAATGAACGCTTGCTTGCAAGAGTGACAATTAAATAAAAAGAAGAAGATAGCGTGTAGATATATAATACATAACAATTGTAGAGAGGGAATCATATAATAAAGCTTTCCTCCACTCTTTAGACTCCACTTCACGCATCAGCATAAGAGCAAGTAAGAAAATAGTCAATAGAATACGAGAAAAAGAGAAACAAAGCATTAAATTGGAGTCTTCAAGTTGCTTAGTAAGTCTAAAGCCTTGTGTAGTACATGAGAACGAATGGAATCACCACTAACACAATCACTAGATCCGTTATGTTGGCGTGTTCATGTTTTTCGTGCTGCTACATAAGTACATACGGGTATATAGAAGCCGAGTATGCAGCAATAATTGGTGACAATGGCCGCTTGAAGTGTATTGATCTGACTGGACTGTGGTTAAACCTTCCTCCAGTTCAACATTTAATTATTGATTACGATAATTAGTGATCATTTTGGAGTATAAAACACGTTCTTGGGAAAAATAAATACAATCTTTATAAGTACTTATCTTAATAGATCTCTATGATTAAGTCTCTTATAAATTTGCATAAAATATTTGTAATATTTGTATAAAATATGATTAATTTGTTCAAACATTAAATACTTTTTTTTTTGACATAAGTTTTAACATTAAAGTTGAAGTTGTGATAAACAGTGTAATTGTTTATCACTGATATCTCGGAATGTTGATATTTAAAAAAAAATCGTCTCACCTGTTAAAGCAGATTTAAATTTGCAAATACAACTGACAATTAGTTTGTTTGATAGTAAAACACAGCTATAATATTTATAATGATTATTCAACGGAACTCCATTGGAAAAGTTGTTTAAGACTTCATTTAAAAATAAATAAATAAATATCTGATATTTATTTGAAATTAATCAATATTATAATGAATTTAAATTAAGAATTTTATTTTCAAGTCGAACTTGACTTAGATTCATGAAAATCAGCTGGTTGTAAAGTAGCAAGAAATTCTTTATATCTATTAATGAATTCATCTTCACCAGATTGTTCTTCACTTTTGTCATATTCAGGTCCAATTCCCCATAAAGTTTCCAAATCATATTTTTCTCGAGCGTCAGTTGAAAAGATGTGTAAAGCAATATTATCTGTTGAATAACAAGACTATTATTTTATCTTGATTAATAAAAACTTTACAATAAAAATTGAAGCTTCCTTTACCAAGATCAAGGGCTACCCATTCCTTGCTATCTTCACCTTCAATCTTGGGTACAATATCAGTTGGATGCATTTTTAACTTAAATGCTTTTCTAATATATGTGGCTAATGCACTCATATGCTTTTGTGATTTTCCCGTAACAATAACAATGTGATTAACGTAAGCATATTCTGGTGGGACTTGGGCAACAAATATATTTTGTGCTTTATTCTTTTTCAAAATATCTACAAGCTCTTCAATTTCAAATACACCTGTTATTCCGCCTAAAAAGAGTAAAAGACTACAATTAATAAAACCTGATTGATAAATAAAGTTGGAATTATTGGTTTTGTATTATTTACAATACAATTCAAGAACTTACGTTCACGATTTAAATCTACGTAGGGATCTACTTCATGTTCGAGAGCAATAATTTTTTCTAAATTAATTTTTTCCTTTTCTTCTTCAACATCAAAGATAATTTCTGCATCTTCATCCCGGAATTCTTTGTATTCCATTTTTATACCGGGTGCTAGGTTAGAACTTTCATTCGTTGCTTGTTCATTTTGTTCAGAGGTTAATTTTTTTGATTCATCATTTGAATACAATCTTCTGTTTAAAATAGTGCGAGACAATTTAACTATTTCACATGATCTGGTATATGATGTTTTATATAAAAATCTACTTGTATTAAATAATTTTCGTGAGAATAAACTGCACATTGTTTTTGTAACTAAAAGTCACGTGTTTTTAAATCGATTAGGTTGCCCCCTACTGGGTAATTTCTTTCACGTCCGCCTTTTATCAGAATTATTTTATATAAACATAACTAAATATAAATAATGGCTTTAATAAATAAGTTGTTGATATAAATTATTACTTACTAATCAAAGTTGAATGGAAATAAATAGGAAAATGGAGGTATTTTGTTGGTTAAAGAAAGAACAAGACAAAATTCATCTTGAGTAATATTTTATATTAAATCTAATCAAGAAGAAAAATTTTTTCTCTTTTTTATAATCTCTGCACGAATAACAGTATTAGACAACATAAATTTATTTGAAAATTAATCCAATGTTTGTAAAAAATGATGTCAATTTTTGTAGAAGATAATATCCATTAGAAGCGAAGTGGAATGTCATTCAGGCAGCTGTAAAGTAAAACATGAAACGATGTAGTATGAAATAAAATTCGAGTAATTCATATTATATGAATAATTTTAGGTTATAACTGTGATTGTTATAACAATTATTTTTTAATAAAGTAATTAAACAATTTTCTTCATTGTCAACTTACAGAGTGTGTAGGTGGTAGGCCTACTTGGACCTCGCACGCATCTTCCTCCTTTTTCGCTTTAGCCTTCGCATACGCTTCTTTCGCCACTGTACATAAAAAATAAATTATTATTAAAATTTAATTATTTCTGTGAATAAAGAATGTTCTACTATTATTATAGACGCAAAGATCATGTATGTATACCGTTATATACTACAAATAATTCTTATCACTTTATAATTTCTGATATTAGAATAAATAGGTTATAAATTCTACCTAATAACAATTATTCAATTTAAAAAAGTTTCTTTTTTTCACTAAAAAACTATTACATTTAAGGAAAAATTCTAAGACGCGTTGGAATAAACAGTACATACGTCGACATAACCATGATCTTTACGAATATAAATGTTTACATTTTACATTTAACAATAAGCGAAATTTTAAAAATAAATTAATTTACTGAATTTGTATTACCTTAGCTCTCATGTTTGAATATAAATGAAAACTAGATTACTCTAGATTTCCTCGATGCTGAACGATTTATTTTCAGCGAACTGTTTACTGATTCAATCCAACAGAAATGGATGCCCGGAAACCAAGTCAACAATCTCCTTGCATTTTTAATTGCAGATGGCGTTATTGCGACATGTAAGCCATCTGGTGGTGAAAATAGTAATCCAGAAACTTTTTCCCGCGTTCTTGGATTTTACCGCGAATTTGTGACACAATACACGTCAGGTGTTCTTGACAACCGCCAGTCTGATTAAATATTAGCATTAATACGTATAAAAATCTTGTCAAACTGTCAATAAATTTATCACTAAAGTAAATTACATAATTTTATAAATTAAAGGTGTCTTTTATATGAAATTGAACTGTATTTTCACTTAAGTTTTTTCATTTTTTACGTGCTAACCTTCAACGTTCACTCCAGAGATCAAAACGCATTACAATGACTAGTGTTCAGACAACAATTAAATTTCCAGTTACAAAAAGAAGTTCATTTTATGGTATTAATAAAACTGCTAAGCAAGATTTTACCAATGCTACGACTCGATGTACTTCATCATATGAAAGATATGTTCCTTCAGTTAAGAAAATTATGACAATTAGTAGCAATGAGTCCGATTCAGAAAATCTGAAAAAATTGAGACAAAAGACTGTAGAAGAACCTAAGACTCCTAGAAGATCTAAGAGAAATAAAAAGCCATCGGAGAGCAAAGGTAAGTTACATATAACTTTTTATTGTTTTCGTTGAATTTGTTACTGTTTTTGTTTCCATAAATTTACTAATCTTTCAAATTCCTCTTTACCTTTCAAAAATAATATTTACCAGTAAAATAATTTTTTTTAAGATGACGTCGAATCTACTCCTCCGAAGCAACAAAAACCGACACCTCCAAACACTCCATCAACACTTTTGAATGGCTTACATCTAGAATCTCCATCAAAACGAAAAGATCATTTAGCTCCAAAAAAATTGTTTGCTGAAAAATATCAAAGTGCTAGAAATGCTTTACACAGTGGTATACCAGAGAATCTTATTGGAAGAGAGTCTGAGCTTGCTGAGTTGAATTCTTTTATAAAGGATAATTTAGAACATGAATCTTCAGGATCTTTGTATATATCAGGCCCACCAGGAACTGGAAAAACGGCTTCTTTATCAAAAATTATGCTTCAGCCGGAATTCAAGGCAGCTTTTAGAATTGTTTTTGTTAATTGTACGTCTATTAAATCAGCGGGAACGATTTATAAAGAGATTCTTCAAAAATTAAATATCCCAACTCCGAAATCTGAAAAATATAGTAAAATTACAATTGAAAAATATTTAACAGAATCAAAGAAAATGACTCTACTTGTTCTGGATGAAATCGATCAACTAGACTCGAAAAGACAAACTGTTTTATATTCAATTTTTGAATGGCCTTCCATTCCTAATTCTAAATTATTACTTGTTGGTATTGCTAATGCTTTAGACTTGACTGATCGTATTTTGCCAAGACTTCAAGCTAGATGTGAGCTAAAACCAAAGCTGATGCACTTTGCTCCCTACAATAAAGAGCAAATTGCGAAGATTATTTCTATGAGATTACAAGAAGCCAATGTATCAGATGTTTTCCCTGGAATGGCTGTGCAATTATTAGCTGCAAAAGTCGCCTCTATGTCTGGAGATATTAGAAAAGCATTAGATCTTAGTCGAAGGGTTATAGAATCAGCAGAAAACCAAAAAATTTTGAATGATGTTTTACAACCTACTATTGATAACAGTGAGTATTATATCTATTATGAAAAGTAATGAAAAAAAATATTAATCAAAGCATTAATTGTTTTTAAATGTAAATTTCAGCTGAAAATGGTGGTAGTCCTAAAAAACAACCACCCGTGACTGAAAAACCTGTAGAATTAAAAGAGGTTTTTGCTGTATTAAATGGTGTTTATGGAGGAATTCAGAATCTCAATAAGAATGAAGAAACATTTCCTCTGCAACAAAAATTACTGCTTTGTTCTCTTATGCTTATTCTTAACAAAGGTCGTAATAAAGACATTACAATGAGTAAAGTAAGTTTCTAAAAGTTTTTAATGATTCACATCCATTATTAATAGATAATCATACTCACAGATTGATTTATTTTTCTTTCAGTTACATGAAGTTTACACAAAAGTGTGCCAGAAAAGGAATATTCATGCTGTAGATAGCTCTGAATTTGTTGGACTATGTGCCTTGATTGAAACACGTGGAATTTTACGAGTTATCAAGAAAAAAGAAGCTCGATTTTGTAAAATTGCTCTTTTATGGGACCAAGAAGAACTTGGAGCTGCTTTACAAGACAAAAACATGATGGCTGAAATTATTAATGACGTTTCTTGCCTTTAATATTTATTAATATTCTCTATTTATTAACTGCGGCCTTCTATTTATTTTTATATAATTAACTTTTTATGAAATATAACGATTTTAATCATTGATAACAAATATTACGTATGTATATTAATGAAATATTTTAAGAATGTTAAGTTGAAGAATAAACAACTATTGTTGAATGATTTTCAATGCTTGAATGTTAATAATAAAGTTTAAATTATTCTTGAAAATTGGTACAATCATTTATTCCAATTTTCATTAATTTTATCAAAGTAATTGAATAAACCCGCGTAAATGTTCTTCGAGACTTTTCGTATTCCTTCGTTTACCTTCGATAGAGCCGAACTACAACCGGCATCGCACGAACGTCACAAACAAATTGTTCATTGCAAAACAGTTTATTCAATAAGTGAAATTATTTAAACAAGTAAAAAAGAAAGAATGGCTTCAATTCTTGTTCCAGAAATTCCATCACCAGGATTTTCTTTTGATCTTTGCAAAAGGTATAAAATCAATCATGACAAACAATTTTTATGAAGATAATTATTTTCAAGTCAAATGAACTAACCTCAACCACACAAATACTGCTGTGTCATTTTTTATTAATTAAAAAATTATTGAATTATTCTTTTTAATTAACTATTTTTTAACATTTCAGAAATGAACTTTTAGCTAAAAAAGGATTTCCTGCTCCAAAAGCTCAAAAAACTGGAACTACAATTGCAGGAATTGTTTACAAGGATGGAGTCATCCTTGGAGCTGATACAAGAGCTACTTCTGGAACGATTGTAGCTGACAAAAACTGTTCTAAGATTCATTTCCTTTCTCAAAATATTTTGTAAGTACTCTAGAACCAATTAATAAAAATTAGACCATTGTTTTCAAAGAGTTTTTAAGTAGAAGAGTTAATTGTTCGTTTTATTCATTAACTTTATTATCAAAACAGTTGTTGTGGAGCTGGAACTGCTGCAGACACTGAAAAAACTACTGAAATGATTGCTAGTCAGTTGGAATTGCATCGTTTAAATACTGGTAGAGTTCCTCGAGTAGTAACGGCCAATCGAATGCTGAAGCAACATCTATTCCGTCATCAAGGGTACATTGGTGCTGCTTTAGTACTGGGTGGTGTAGATATTGATGGGGCTCATCTTTATTCTATTTTTCCACATGGTTCAAGCGAAAATTACATGTTTGTAACTATGGGATCTGGTTCTCTAGCAGCTATGGCAGTTTTTGAAAGTCGATGGAGACCTGGTTTAACTGTAAGTATCTAATGAAAACATTACACTCAATATTCGATTTAAATTTACATTTCTTTTATGTCTATAGGAGGAAGAAGGGAAAGAGTTAGTGGCTGATGCCATTCGAGCAGGAGTTTTCAACGACTTGGGTTCTGGTTCTAATGTTGACATCTGTGTAATTCGCAGTGCAGAAGTTCGTGGAGTTACATTTGATGCTCGCAACACTGAATACATTCGTCCATATGATGTGGCTAATGAAAAAGGAAAACGTGAAGGATCTTATCGTTATAAACGTGGAACTACAGCGATTCTTGATAAAACTATTCGACCAGTTATTGTCGAGCATGAAGCAGTAAGGAGAATTGAACCAGAATCAATGGATACATCCTCGTAATTCATTTTAAAAATTTCATTTTTTTATATTTAAAAATATTGTGAATTTATAATTATAATTACATAATAAACATTACATAATATTACATCATGAAAATATGTTTTAAAATTATAAGAATATTTTCGATATAATTTATCTCAATTCATGGACGGTCCTTATTTATTAATAGTTGTAATAATTCTCTTATTCATCAATATTCGCACTATTGCAATATTTAATTAATTCAATATTCAACAATTATTGATTAATAATTATTATTTAAAATAATCCTGCAGATTGTTTAAGTCTTTGTCTTCTCCATTCAGGTAATTTTTCAAATTCCATCGGATTCATTTTAAAAATAGCCATAAAATCATCATACGTAAGATGCATTTCTTTCTTAAAAACATCGACATCTTTAGGTAATTGTTCGGCTTCACTTTTTAAAACTTTCAATGGATATTTTACATAAGAATCGAAATTAGAAGCAGGATTTTCATGCCGACTTATTGAATATTCTTGAAAACCTTGAAGAGCTGTTCGAATTTCATCAAAAGATCGGTAATCTCTCCAATGATTGTGATTCCAGTTTTCAAAAAGCCCAATAAATGTTACCGGCTCTAAGCCTTGTTTTACTACAGAAATTATTGTATTTCGATCTCGTGCTGCTGGATGAGTGTATAAAAACACCAATGCATCTTGAACACATTGTTTTAGATTTTTCGTTGCAGCTAACTTCCCTAACCATACCCAAATAATATTGCCAGCATCTAAAAGCCAAACTGCTTCAGGAATGAGACTATTTTGTGTAAATCCTAGAATTTCTTCTCCAACAAACACTTTATCCAAAACATTGCAATGATAAAGATGCTTTCCAGATTCTTCAATGATTTCATCAACTTCTGTGCCATATTTTTTTTTACCTAAAATCCAAATACAATTATTTACAGCCATAAAATTAAAGTAATCATAGGAAAATAAAATCTCTACTAAATTACAATACCTCCTAATTGATTCCAGAATTCTTCGCCTTCTTTGCCTTCAGCAATGAGAGGTGCTGTCGCTGGAGCAAGACGCCGTGAAACTTCTCTCGCATCTCCAGTACTTTTTCCTCCACACCAGACTATTGGCTGATCAGAAAAGAGAATAAAAACTCCCCCCGAGTCCAACGAACTTGCTTGTAAAGGTCGTTCAATTGCTTTAGAGGTGTAAGGTGTTGATCCGAAAACTCTTACGAGATATTTTTTCGGTGCTGATAAAAGAATGAATTATTTATAAAACGAATTCACTTGTTGAAGTGAAAAAAAAAAAAAACAAAAATGAATCATTATAAATATTTACGCGTTTCTTGATAAGTTCCAGCTAGAATTCTTAGCTTTCCACCATAAATCTGAAGAAGATGATAAGGTTCTCGTCCCTGAGATGCTTTAACAAGTTGACCAGAAGTATCTTCAGCAAGTTTACAAGCTGCATCCAATGCCGCTTCTCTATCAAGACTTGTAGAATGTGCTCCTTCCCAGCAATAAATCTAAGACAATGGATTTTCACTTTAAAATAATTCATTATCACTATTCATTTATTTCTTAAGAATATCATTAATTTACGTTTACTCACGATTGATCTTTCTCTTCTACCACTTCCATAAATATATCTCATGACATAGCAAACTCCAGCGTAGAAAATACCTTGATTCGATTCTGTCTTATCATTGACCTCAATCATTCCTTCCTTTTTGCTGACCCTCCAAAGAGTTCTTTTACTACTTCCATCATCAACAAGTTGATATTCAGCAGCTATTTTAGGTCGTTCACTCATATACTCAGCTTCAAATGAAGATTGAAGTATCAATGGTCTCATTTTTGTTGGTTCCCAAGCTCTCAGTAGTGTTTTCATCTCTCCAGGCTCTTCATTTTCAACTGCTCGACCCACAGGAACACAAAGACTATATCCTTTTTTTTTAATAAATCCTCTCGCATTTCTAACAGCTTCTAACTTTTCTCGAGCATCAACTTCTTTACCAACCCATGCCCAGACTCCTGCTTCACCTCTGTCAAACAAAAAAACGGAAGATGAAGTCAAATCATCTCGAAAAATTGGTCCGGACTTTATTTCAGCAACTTTATATTTTCCTGATTGTTCACTGCATCGATAAAGCTTAATTGGAGTTGGAATATGAACTCTTTCATGTTGTTGAGGAATCACCGATCTTGATCTTGGGTCTAGAATACTATCAAATAACTTTTTGTCATCAGATTTTAATGTCTGTTCATATCCATCATCAACAATGACAATTCTTATATTATTGTTATCTTTTCTCACTTCTAGCAATTTCATTGCATGTCTTCTATGCAAAGAGCTTGATCCAGAACCCAGCCATAAAAATACGACACCACGAGATTGAGTGTCAATCAACATTACATCGGAGGAGGAGAAATTATTCCAGCAAATCGAGTCCAATTCTGTTGATATTGGAATTGATCGACCTGTCACTCGATGTAGACGTACTTGAGGAGGATCAAAATGTGCTCGTTCAATAATCAATTCTTGCCGAAAATATGCAAGGAATCGTGGACTCTCCCGTCCTTCAGACTCACGTAATAAAATCGTTGCATTAATTTGAGAATCTAATTCTGCTGCACGTAATGCTGCTGCTGAAGAAATACTTGAGTCACAGCTTCCACCAATCCAGAAGTGAATTGTTTTTACAATATTATTGCTTTTAAGTTCCTTATACTAAAAAAAAATTAAGCAATTAATTTTATAATTACTTAATAGCATTGTAATTATTGAAAAAAAAAATTTATGTCCATTACCGGCATTCCTGGATAAGGAAGTCCATCATCTTTAGGAGATACTGCATAAACAATATATGCTGATTCTGATAAAAAATATCCAATTTTATTTCTAGGAACTGTAATCGCTTGCAATCCCTGAAAAATATGTTTATAAATATAATATTATATATATTTTAATCAATATTATCATTTAATACTCACTTCTATTTTCCATACAAGAAAGGTGGTTCTATTCTTGGGAACACTTCTGAAGACATCACTTCCGGAACCTTCGGAACTTCCGTCATCCTGTTGAACACAATTGTGTAATAACATTTTATACCGTTTAATATTTTTATTTAATTCTTTAAATAAATGAAAACTAAATAAAATCAATTATGAATGAATTCTCAGCAAAAATGTTATTTTCTAATCAAATTAAACTGAACGGCAAAAGGAACTAATTGTGACTGGTAATACGTGAATTTAAGTACTAAGTTGATACTACAAAGCCATTCTATATCGCTTGTTGAATCTAAACATACTCATTAAACGTTAAATTGTGCGATATTAAATCAATGGTAAAACACGGCTACACACGTCTCTGATTCTTTCGTGCTGAATTCAATTGGAAATCGGTATCCAACACTCTTGCGTACTAGAGCAGCAATTATTCTCCATTCTACTTTCCTTTTTCATTCTTACAATAATTGCTAATTAACCAAAAAAATATATATACTCTAATTAATATGGGTCTATATTTTTTTTTATCACTTTATTTTAAATTAATTAAAATCTCATGTTCAATTTTTTTGTAATCTTCTGTATTGTTTATTATTAATGAACTGGATAATTGTTCGCATGAAAACATTCTCCTTGACAATGGATTTGCTATAATAAAGATTTTAAAAATAAATTACAACGATAAAACACAAAGAGAAACTATACACATACATATAGATATATATATTAATTTGAATTAATAAAAAAATAAAGAAAATTATTTATTTTTAATGAGTGTACTCAATATTTGTATTACATTCAGAATTAACTACGAATTAAACTAAATTTAAAAGTTTGATAATCATCTTTCCATAAAATAACGATGAATGACTGAAGCATATAAAGAGGGCACTAGAATGGATTTTAATCACCGTTAAAGTGATTTACCGTAATTATTTATAAAAAAATAAATTAATTGATAAATAAAAATAAATTAAAACTCACTCGTTTTGAAAATCCCATAATAAATAGTATTTAGATCTTTTTGAAGACTTTATGAACTTATCAAGACATTGATGACGATGATGGTGATGGTAGCACAGCTCGTAGACGACTGATACGAGTCTTCCTGGGTTAAAAAAGAAACCATAGTCGTCCGGAAATGGGTCCGGAACTCCAGGCGGCCACCCGTGACCAACGGGCATCTCATGAATATACACATCCGACCATGCGGGGCTTAGTTCTCCACTTACATGACACACTCATTATCTAACGCACCTGCTCTCTCCACTTAACTGTTAATATACGTCACAATGACAAAGGAAAAAACTTCATCCTTTTATTTACCAGCTCCTTTCTGCTAATTTCTCGGCTTTTTATACATAGAAATCCAATTGCTGAATTCCTTCTTCTTCTTCTTTCGATCTAATTCTTTGTCCCAGGGCTGTCGTCATTATCTTATGTGAATTCCAAGTTTCTAGTGAAAGGATTTGCTTTTTTTTTTACATATGAAATCATCTTCCAGCTAATGATGGTTTGCTTTTTATTGAACTCAATATATTATTACAAGTAATAATTATCCTAGATAGAATAAATAATTGAATAGTAATTGAAATGGTTAAGGAATGAAGTTATCAAACAAAAGATAAGTGTAAAAAAAATTGAGTTAATGAATAAATAAAATTGACATTACTGAATTTTTTGATAAGAGTTTGAGTATGATGAAAAGATGATGGAGATCTGATGGACTGGAAAGATAAAAAATTCAATTATTCTAGTGGTATTTTTACTTCCTATTATATTTATATCATTATGATTATATGTTTAATAAATAATGTTAACTAGAAATAGATTTTTTTATCTAGCACTAAAAAAATTTGACTGGAAAAAAAGATTTCTTACTAAATCACGAAGCAACACAAGTATTATTGATACGTGTTCACAATTTTGTTGTAATTCTAAATCATTCAATTTTTCTGAAAGTTTTAAACGACTTGGTCTTGAAAAAGAAGATGTTTACGAAGAAGATGAAAAGACGGAAATATTAAATTTAAAAAAAAAACTATTTATTCCCAGATCTCAAGAATCTATAGAACTTTGTATGTGTAAAGATTGTTTGGAACAGGAGTCGAAAATTTCTGGAATAAAAACACGTGAGATATCTTCGTTCCGTTTAGTTGTTCAAGGACCTGAAATCTTACATTACCAAGGAGTAAAATATTCACCGGAAGATGTAGCTCCTTACTGGAAGAAAGACTCAAGAATGTGGCTTTGGAAAAGTGTTAGATATGCTCAAAGACAGAAAAAAAAATCAAAATCTTTTCCACGATTTCCTGTGTTTTCTCGCACATGCAAAAACCAATAAGAAAAAAAAATTATTATGAAATATTATGGAGTAAGTCATGAAGAAATGAAATACAAAAAAACAATTATTTAAATAAATAAAATTCATTTATGAAATAATAATAAAACGTATGAAAAAACTGAATGTAAAATAAATTTAAAAGAATAAAAAAAAATCACCAATATACCTTTCTTTGAAATTGAAATATATATCTCATTATGAAAATTTTCTCCAAGCATACATTCATCTTAACAATTACATAAAAACTGAATGTATCATAGCTTTTATAAATATCTAAATTAAATTTAAAATATTTATTTTCGATTAATAATATTTTTAGATATAGATTATAAATCTAATTCATAAAGTCTATAAACACTTATTGATATTATTAAGCAATTTCCTCGAAATGTTACTCCAAAAAAGTAATACCTTTCTATTTATTTATTTGTAGAAATGCATTTTGTAGATAACATTTGAATATTTTTAGTTTAACTACACGATTTGACAGATTCCTTCTCTGCTGGTGCCTCATCAGAGTCTTCATGTTGAAGATTTTCACCAGTTTCAAAACGGCAAAAATCTATAACTTCTGCATTTGCAGCCATCAAAGCTTGTTGAACATTAAGACTTGGATCTAATAAAAATTCTTGAAAAATTAAAGTAGATTCATCGTCACTGTTTTCATTGACTTCATCATTTGGATGTCCGATCTTTGAAGGATTCATCCCTATCAAGAGAACATTCGAATAATTTAATAATTTCGCAATATGTAATAAATTAAAATAATTGATAGAAGTGTTGAATAATGTTACCAATGATATGTTGGCAAAGCTGCATGCCTAGTAGTCTGTTGGGAGGATCTGATTTAAATGCCAACAAAGCTCCATATTTTCCGAATGAAACAGGAATTGTGTTAACTGGAGCTGGATGTGTACATCCAACTAACTGGATAGGTGAACTCACTTTCATACAAAGTGCTCGTTTTAAAGTGATGTTTTCTCCAACATTTCCAATCGTCAAAGCTACATGATCAGCTAAGATTTTTCCATCATGAGCTTTGATATCTTTTAAACAATCTGTATGTAAAGGTAGTTTATAAACAGGCTCTTTTGACACCAAATTTCCAGCAAATTTGGTAACTTCCGAAATGATTGTTTCAGCAAGACTATGAAAGGTTTTATTCCTAGCAACGAAGTCTGTTTCACAATTTAATTCAACCATAGCTCCATGATCTTTGCTGCACATAACAGCTATTAAACCTTGGGTCGTTGATCTTCCTTGAAGTTTTTCAGCTTTTGACCAACCAAGAGCTGTTGCTTGTTCTTTAAGCCATGCTTCAGCCTAGAACAAATTTAAAATCTTTAATGTCATTTTTACATGAAATTACGATTGGAAATTGGATCACTGACCTTTCCAAAGTCATTATCATGTAATTCCAAAGCTTTTTTGCAATTAGAAAAAGTGTAGCCAGTTTTTTTTCTCAATTTGGCTAATAATGATTTATTAGACGATTGCCAAAAGTGGTTACTAATCGAAAAGTATCGACAAAATTGTCTGGATATCATCTGTTGAAGAAATTATTCAATTTAAATATTTATTCTAGCGATAATACTAAAAATAGGAGTAAATCTGATATAACCTTTGAATTTAGAATTTACAATGTTTGAAAACTTGTTCAATTTACTTGATATACTGAAATTAATCAGTAAGTTAATATATGTAAATAAAAATGATTATTTTCAATTAAAAAATCATATATTATCCTTTTAATTAGGTTGCTTGGAAACTGCACAATGTTATGTATGACCGTAAGACATTTGTGTTGCGAAGGTTATGTCATCGATAAGCTTTTTCAAGTTGGAGCAAAAATATTCATTTTATATAAAAATTTCGATATTCTTATAAAGTAAAGAATAATAAAAAATTATTTGAGTATTTATTGAATGGGAAAAAGTTACAATTAATAGTAAATATAGAAAAAATGTTTTAACTCACTGCGTAGATATTACAGAAAATGACAGGAAACAGTGAACATGGCGCCAACTTTCAGTTAAAAATGTCAATCGATAACCGTCATTCCAAATATATGTTGTTGACATTATTTAAGGTATAGAACATTTTATTATGAAATGATTTATACAATATTTATGATATTTTTAAATATTAAATATATTGATGTATAAATGCCAAGATTAATTTCAATAATTTTTTGGTTAATGAGCATTACAATAATGGACATAAACTTTAGATCTGCTAACTTTCAATGATGTTTTATAATGTAGATAATAAATCAATGAGATAATTAAAATTTTGATTACTCATGATGGCTAATGATTGGAGAAAAGAATCTACAAGCCAGAAATCATTAAAAAATACATTAAAGAGACCTTCAACTGATCTGTCTAACATCTTTGATGTGAAAATTGAATCACTTCTGCCACTTCCTGAGGACTTGATTGCTCCCTGCTTGAGTAAGCGGAAAAAATCACAAAGAAGTCAAAGAAAATATCAGTTTCCATACTCTAATGAGAGACAGAGAAAAGAAAAGTTCAGAAAATTTTTGATTGAGTTATTAAATCCACAGGAAGATGAACAAGAAGATGAGAAAGAAAAAGATATTGCTGGTGTCGATTCCCAATATATAACTCAATATTATAATTACATAAAAAGTGGTGTAGATACTCTTCATGTTGTACCACTCGATGCTACTTTTACAGAAAAAATTACCCAAATAATTCCATTAAAACTTCGAAATAAATTTCAGCGTCATTTTGAAGAATTAATTAAAGAGGTTAAAGAGGATCATATTGTTGCTGTTAAAAAATCTATCATTGATTTTATTTTTCTTGATACTTCTGATGACATTAATGATCAAGTAAATATACATTTTATTTTATTTAAAACCTGTTTTTTATTCATTTAGACAATAATGTAATTAATTGTCTTAATGTGATTGATCCAGCGTGAAAAAGATGTCTTAATGATCTACATAAACTTTAATACGAATTTCGATATTTTTATTAACTTTGGATTCTAATGAAAAGTGAATAATATCAAAAAAAATATCAAGTAATGTTAATATTTTCTTGATTGATCTTTTGAAAAAATTTTTTTAGGATCATCAAAACATATTTGAGGAATTACTCGCATTTAGATCACCGAAAGCCTATCATAGGGAGCTTCAGAATATCTTTTATCTCCCTAATCCCTCTATGAGGACAATTTTGGAGCGTTGGATTCGTGATTGGAAATCATTTAGGCTCATTGACCTAGGCTTTATTGAAGCCAACCAAAATAGCTGGAATCATATTGAGTTTAACAATACTATTTGCACTCAAATCAAAGAAAGAAAGAAGATTTTAAAAGCTACATGGTTCGGAAATATTCAAAACATTTTTCTAATAAATGACAGGAAAAGATTGATACCTAGTCCGTTACAACAAAAAACTTTTCAAGGATTTTTTAATTGTGCTAATAAGCTGATGGAAAATCAATTACGTGAAATGTGTGAAGATACTTTAAGGAATTTTGTTGAATTTATTTTTCAAAGTAATTCACAAAATCGATTTAAACTCACGGTTTTGGTCAAGAAAAATGAATTAATATTAGATCCATCAATTGAAGAATTTATAAATATTATTTTTAGTACATTAGATAATTTGGTGGAAGCTGTTAATGGAATTGAAAGATTAGAAACTCAACTCTATATTGATTGGTCGGCTCCATTAACATTTCTAAAGGTTTGTCAAATAAATAATAACGAAGGAAAAATTTATAACTTAATACATCAGTACAATTTTACAGCCAAAAGTATCAAAAGAGAACTTAGACAATTGTAAAAAACAATTAAAAATATTTTTAAATGATCAAATAAAACAACCAAAGCTTACAATGCAAAAATTATTGAAGTAAATAAGTTTTTTTATTTTTGATAAAATTATTATTGGAAAAAAATATTAATTTATTTATTTTTTCAGATACTCACATTACTATAATGGAGATGAATTGAACAAAGTTAATGAATTCTTATCAGATGATTTAGCAACACTGGAAGAACACAAGACTCAAATTCTCCATTATCATAATTTAGCTGCTAATATTCCAATAATGATTGAAAAAAACATTTTTACCGGATTTTTTGAAATTACTCAAACAAATTTTATTGATACTATTGTAGAATCTATTAATCATTTTAAACAATTATTAATTGATGCAGTTAGATCTGAGTATCAGGGTCAAGCAAATGCGTAAGTGATGTTTTTAATTTTGGATAATTTTTTTAATTTAATAACTTTCAGAATAAAATTCCACTATTTATTTTACATTAGAACTGAAGGAGAATATAAAATGATTGCCGATAAAGCCTTGAGTATACCCACAAACACTTCAGCATTGATGGAATTGGTAGATTTTATTAAGAAAGCTGAAGAAACATCTTTAAAAATTTTAGAAAATAATTTAAACGAAATAATTGCAAAAATAATTTTTTTATCTGATTTTTGGATTTTAAATGATGCTGAAATACGGGTTGTAGATGAAGTGTTCAAATGGTATCATAAGATGCCAAAAATTCTGGAAGAAAATCGTAATATAGTAGAAATGAAAACACATGAACTTCAAGAAGTACTGAAGATCCGTTATCAGAAGTTTCAAGAAGAATTGGACTCGTATTCAAAACAAGTTGAGGAAATTCAATACTGGGGTGATGTTGATGAAGTCTTCAGATATCAAAAGAAGGCTCAGAACTTGGAGAACAGATTAATTAATGCGATGGAGAAGATTGAAAAGTTTAATGAAGAGGAGATAGCTTTTGGATGGGAAAGAACTCAATATCCAATGAGAAAAACTATCACAGGTGCACATCTAACTTATGTGGACTTTTTTTTTTAACTTTAAGTGCTTAGAAACATTAATGACACAGCAATCTATTTCATTGAAACTCATTTCTTTGTTAAAGATCGATTGATGCCCTATAAAAAATTTTTTGATGCAACATGTGATTTCTTGGTGAAGTATGAAAAATGGATGGGGTCATTTATAGGTTCTTATGATCCTGAAACAATTGAAGAAGACGTTAATAATACTTATCGTACTTTGTATAAGCTTGAGAAATCATTTACTGAATCAGATACCAAATTTTTAGCATCAATTATTTTACAAAAGATAGAGGATTTTAAAAATGATATTCCTGTAATCATGACCTTGGGTAATCCTGGCATGAAACTTAGACATTGGAATCAAGTATCTGCAATAATTGGAATTCCCATTAAAGTTGATGGAGATTTAACTCTAAGCAAAGTTTTGAAAATGGAACTTGGAGAGTATATCAATCAGTTTGGAGGAATTGCGGAAGCAGCAATGAAGGAAAGTAATTTGGAAAAGGGGTTGACTAAGATGCAGAAAGATTGGGAGGATATGAGTTTTACTGTCAATCCTTATAAGGATACTGGGTCTTTTGTCATTGCTAATGTTGATGATATTCAACTTATGCTTGATGATCATATCACTAAAACTACAACAATGAAAAATTCAGTATACATAAAACCATTTGAAACTGAAATATTGTAAGTTTTATTTTTACAAACAAAAAAAATTATAATACATGGTGTTGATAAGATTATGAAAGGGTAATATAGATGTGAATTTGTTGTTTTAATTTTTTTCAAGAAAATGGGAGAGTAAATTATATCTACTACAAGATATTTTGGATATATGGTTAACTGTTCAAGGAGCTTGGATGTATTTGGAGCCAATATTTACATCACCAGATATTCAGCTACAAATTCCAGAAGAAGGGAAACGATTTAGTGCTGTTGATAAAACTTGGCGGGATATTATGAAAGCTGTATCAGCCGATCCAAAAGTTATGACTGTCGTGGAAATTGATAAAATGTTAGAAAGATTGAAAAAGAGTTTGGGAATGCTTGATACTGTTCAGAAAGGTCTCAATGATTACTTAGAAAAGAAGAGATTATTTTTCCCTAGATTTTTTTTCCTATCTAATGATGAACTTCTTGAAATTTTATCTGAAACTAAAAATCCAACCAGGTAAAATATAACAATAATTCAAATAATGTCATTGCCGATAATTTTTAAGATAAAAATTCAATTAATAAATTTACTTAATCTTTTTTATATTTATTTTAAGAGTTCAACCGCACTTGAAGAAGTATTTCGAAGGCATCGCATCTCTGTTATTCGACGAAGAACTTAAGATTGAAAAGATAAAGTCAACAGAAGGAGAAATAGTAGATTTAGTCGACGTGATTGCAACGTCTGCTGCTCGAGGACAAGTGGAGAAATGGTTGTTAGAACTTGAAGAAGACATGAAGAAAAGCGTACGACAAGTGATAAAATTAGCCATCGCTGATTATTTAAAAAAAGAAAGAATTGTTTGGGTTTTATTATGGCCTGGACAAGCAATTCTTTGTGTAAGTCAATTGTACTGGACGCAACAGATCGAAAAAGCGATGTTTAATCATGTTGATGGTTTGAAGAAATACTTGGATCAGTGCCAAAATGAATTAAATGATATCATTCTTATTATTAGAGGACACTTATCTAAACAAAACCGTATTACTTTAGGTATTTTGTTAATTTATTTCCAAATATTAAATTTTTTCAAAAATTGTGTTGATTTATTGAATATTTCATTTGCAGAAGCTCTGGTAACTTTAGATGTTCATGGAAAAGACGTTTTAATGCAGTTATGGAAAAATAAAGTCACTAAAAATGTAGATTTTCAATGGTTAAGTCAACTAAGATATTATTGGCAGGTAAATGAATTTATTTTTTATTCATGACTAAGAATACATCGCGTGCTTTTCATCACTTTTCAATTTTTATTCTTTTATATTTCAGGATCACAATCTTTTCATTTACATGATAAACTCAAACCTAGTATACGGCTATGAATACTTAGGAAACTCTTCTCGTCTCGTAATAACTCCATTGACCGATCGATGCTACCGAACTCTATTTGGAGCCCTCAGTCTTCATTTAGGAGGTGCTCCGGAGGGTCCAGCTGGAACAGGAAAAACAGAGACAACAAAAGATTTAGCGAAAGCCGTAGCAAAACAATGCATTGTTTTCAATTGTTCTGAAGGTCTTGATTACATTGCTTTAGGCAAATTCTTCAAAGGTTTAGCATCTTGTGGAGCTTGGTCATGCTTTGATGAGTTCAACCGAATTGACCTCGAAGTTTTGTCCGTCGTAGCCCAACAAATTTTAACAATTCAACGTGGAATTAATGCTGGAATAGATACACTAGTATTTGAAGGAACTGAAATTACTTTAAACCCTACATGTGCAGTTTTTATAACAATGAATCCAGGATATGCTGGAAGATCTGAATTACCGGATAACTTGAAAGCTCTTTTCCGATCTGTTGCTATGATGGTACCAGATTATGCTTTGATTGCTGAAAATACATTGTACTCATTTGGATTCTACAATGGACGACCGTTAGCAGTTAAAATAGTTACAGCTTACAAACTATGTTCTGAACAATTAAGCAGTCAAAGTCATTATGATTATGGAATGCGTGCCGTGAAGTCAGTTCTAATAGCAGCAGGCAATTTAAAATTAAAATATCCTAATGAGTCAGAAGATGTGATAATATTAAGAAGCATCAAAGATGTTAATTTACCAAAATTTTTAACTCATGACATTCCTCTGTTTCAAGGAATTATTTCAGATTTATTTCCAAATGTCAAACTACCGAATTCAGACTATTCTCAGTTGAATGATGCCATTGAAAATGCTTGTAATTCATTGAATTTGGAATGTACTTTAGTATTTCTAGAAAAAGTACAACAGATTTACGAAATGATGATCGTAAGACATGGACTTATGATCGTTGGACAGCCATTTGCTGGTAAAACTTCAGCTTACAGAGTTTTAGCTCGGGCTCTTGGGATTCTTGAAGAAAAAGGTTTGAATGAGCATCAAGTTGAAATAAAAGTCATCAATCCAAAAGCCATCACTTTGGGGCAATTGTATGGTAACTTTGACCCGGTATCTCACGAGTGGACCGATGGAATTTTAGCGACAATGTATCGACAATTTGCGACGTCTCCCAACCAAAATCGAAAATGGCTTATATTTGATGGTCCTGTTGATGCGATATGGATTGAAAATTTGAATACAGTGTTGGACGATAATAAAAAACTCTGTTTGATGTCGGGAGAAATTATTCAGCTAGCTCCGACTACCAATTTAATTTTCGAACCAATGGATCTTGAAGCAGCATCTCCAGCTACAGTTTCAAGATGTGGAATGATTTATATGGAACCCCAGGCACTAGGCTGGAAGCCATTACTTCAATCGTGGATGAAGACTTTACCTGGAAGTTTAAGTGAACATGTGAAAAATCATTTAAAAAATTTATTCTTCAGATTCTGTACAGCTTTATTACATTTGATACGACAATGTGGAGTACAGGTAAATATGAGTGAAATTAATTTCACAGTTATATGAAATAATAAATTTTGTGATCCAGGTTATAATTTACATGTCTGATGCTAATTTAATTTCATCAACAATGAACCTCATGGATTACTTCATGGATGATTTCAGAGATGAATCAAAAATAAAGAATATCTCAGACCTGGAGATACGTGCTCAAGTAGAAGTAAAGTATCTGAAAAATTAGTACAAATTAATTCAACAGTGGTTCTATCATTAAATTAATTAATAACATCATTTAGGGTTCTTTCTTCTTCGCCAGTATTTGGGCAATGGGTGGAACTCTTACTTCGTTATACCGTCCATGGTTTAATGACCTTTTTAGAGCTTTACTTTCGCACGAACTGCCAACAGCCGTTAAAGAAAGGTTTAAGTTACCTCCAGACATTATAAATCCTCAGAAAGCATACGTGACATTGTTACCAACGTTGGGACTCGTGTTCGACTATAAATTTATCAAAGAAGGTAAAGGAAAATGGATTTCTTGGTCAGAAGATCTTTCCAATTTACCTCCGATTCCGAAAGACATTTCCGTTAATCAAATCATCGTCAATACAACGGAAACTGTAAGATATTTCCATTTATTTAAACTCTTAGTGAATTATCAGAAATCAGTTTTACTTGTGGGACCCACGGGAACTGGAAAATCTGTTTATGTCACAGAATATTTGCTCAAGAAATCAAATCCGATTATTTATAAACCTCTTTTTCTAACGTTTTCCGCTCAAACTACCGCCAATCAAGTCCAGGATATTATCATGAATAAACTTGATAAGAGAAAAAAAGGTGTTTATGGAGCACAGCCAGGAAAACATTGGATTATTTTCGTCGACGATGTTTCTATGCCGGTAAAAGAAGAATTCGGTGCTCAACCGCCTATCGAACTGCTTCGACAATGGCTTGATCATGGAATTTGGTATGATCGAAAAGAATTGATACCAATTCAATTAATAGATACGCAATTAATTTGTGCAATGAACTCACCTTCAAGTGGTAAAGATGTTACAGCAAGATTTAAAAGACATTTTTTCACCCTTGGATTTTGTGAATTCGAAGACAATACTATGATTACGATTTTTTCTAAAATTATGAATTGGCATTTGGAGTCTAGAGGGTTTGGAAATCAGTTTCTTGGTGTTATTAATCAAATTGTTCTAGCTACTTTAGACATTTATAAAGAAAGTGTAAAATTCTTACTACCAATACCTAAGAAATCACATTATTTGTTTAATCTTCGTGATTTTTCCAAAGTTATTCAAGGAGTTTTATTGTCACGACCTGAATCAATTAAAAGTGTGGTAAGTAATCGTTTAATTGGAATTCAAAATTCACTAGTCACTTGAAATTAATTTTATTAGGGTTCTATGAAGAGGCTATGGGTTCATGAAGTTTTAAGAGTTTTTGGAGATCGTTTAATTGATGTACATGATACTGATTGGTTGATAGAACAAATTAGAGGAACACTGTTGAATCGAATGGTAGAAAATATGGATGAATTGTTGAACGACTTGAAAACATCTTCAGAAGAGAAGGTATATAAAATATTTATTTTAATCTACATAATATTTTATATTGCAGTTAAGTTCATGAGATTTATATTTATGTAATTAATTTTACATTTCTTAATGCTAATTTAATTCTCACCTTATATATAAAACTCATTAATATTTAGTTAACTGAAAGGCACTTGAGAAATCTAATCTACTGTGATTTCCAAAATCCTCTTATTGATAAAAGGTTTTACACTGAAGTGATAAATCTAGATCATCTCACCCAAATCGTCGTAGAATATTTGAATGAGTTCAACTCAATATCAAAGACTCCAATGAATCTTGTTCTCTTCAGGTATGAAATTGTAAGAAGATATTTCTTTAATACATTTTATTTAGTTAGTTTATAAATAGAAAATATTTATTTTATTTACATTAAAACAATATAAATACTCACAAGTTTAATTTATTAAGTAGAATTATTTGTTTTTGTTCCGACGTCGTCAACTTATTACTAAGAAAACATTTCTAGGTAAGAGTAGTAATAATATAAAGCAATTAATTATGTTAGACACATTGTTGATTATTCGAATAAATATTGAAATAAAAATTCTATTGTTAATTTACAAAGAGTCTGCAGAAACCAATATTAAATGTGATATTGAGAATATTAAATGATAAATGTTATGTGCAAGCGAAATACATTAAACAAACTTACCGTGAATAATACAGCACGATAAACATGATATTCAAATAAAACCTATTTAATTACTTGTAATTGATGACCAAATGTAAAATAATAAATATATTTTCCAGGTTTGCATTGGAGCATTTATCAAAAATCAGTCGGATTTTAATGCAACCCCGAAGCCACGCCCTCCTAGTGGGTATCGGAGGTTCAGGGAGGCAATCATTGACTCGGTTAGCTTCTCATATTTCTGATTATGAACTTTTTCAAGTTCAAATTACTCAACAATACGGAGTTAATGAATGGCATGAAGATCTCAAGAATATTGTGAGAAAAACAGCTGCATCTGATTTACATACAACGTTTCTTTTTTCTGATGTTCAAATAAAACAAGAGTCTTTTCTTGAAGACATCAGCAACCTAATGAACTCTGGAGAGGTTCCGAATTTATTTAAAACTGATGAAAAAGTTGAGATATGCGAGAAAATGAGAATACTTGATAGACAAAGAGAAAAATCAATGCAGACTGATGGTAGTCCTGTTGCATTGTTCAACTTTTTTGTCCAAGTAGTCAGAGAACAACTACACATTGTCATGGCAATGTCGCCTATGGGAGATAACTTTAGAAACCGCATCAGGGAATTCCCTGCGTTAGTTAATTGCTGCACCATTGATTGGTTTCAACCCTGGCCTAAAGATGCGCTCTTAGCTGTTGCCACCAAGTATCTTGGAGACGTTGAACTCCTTGGAGAGGAATTAAACTCTTGCATCAAAATGTGTCAATACTTTCATACGTCAACCGAGGAATTATCGAATGAATTTTTCTTGAGATCTAGAAGGTATTTGTAGAGACCTTTGAAGTCTATTTTAAAACTTTAATTCCCTTTTTTTTTTTCATAAAGTTATGTTTTTATAAAGTAATCATAAAAACACATCAGACAAGTTCGTTATTCTATTAACAATCTAAAAAAAAATTTTAAATAAAACTTTTTGATTAATCTTTATTAGTTTTATCGTTAAAAAAAAATATATATAAGTTCAAATTGAATAAAATATTATTCTGCTTCGATATCTTTTATCATGTAATATATGACGAGAATATGTTTTATTTCGATAGTAACCGTACAAAATTCATGTTGAAGGTATATAAAGTAACGTATGATCCTGTAATAGCATCTATTTTTATGAAAAGGGATTTAAAGAATGAAATGAATTATTGGTGAATGATTCATCTTTATTTTTATAATAATAGTATTTAATAATCATAAAATACAGGTGGTTTTTATTACGTGTTGATACCCATAATAGAAATTTTGGGGTATAGGTGTATTAAAAAATGAATAATAGTAGATTGATGATTTGCTATAATATTTTTATTATTTTCTCATATGGTCGTACATAATATTTTATACTCCTAATGTTCATGTCATATCATGCGGATCTGAATAAATACTTTAACATGACATTTAAATTATTCTATCATAAAGATAAATGTTTTTATAATGATGGAAAAATAAATTTGAAAAAGGGAAACTTTTATTATTTAAATTATTTGAAATGAGTAATTCATTTAATTACTTTCCCATTAAAATAATCATTATAGATTTTGAATAATTTGAATGAAAATCATTTTTTTTTTTAGGTATAATTATGTCACTCCAACTTCATATTTAGAGTTGATCAACACTTTCAAATATCTTTTGACTCAAAAAAGGTCACAAGTGCTTGAGGGAAAACGCAGATATGAAATAGGGTTGAACAAACTCGATTCCACTCATAAACAAGTGGAGAAAATGCAAAGAACTTTGGTAGCTCTTCAACCGAAATTAATTGAAGCGGCTAAAGATGTTGAAAAGATGGTAGAAAGTGTGGAGAAGGAGAGTGAAGAAGTTTCTGCTATTGAGCAAGTTGTCAAAGCTGATGAAGAAGCAGCTATGGTAAAATACTTTGAATTCTGTTATCATGATATATAAGATACTGAAGTGGTATTTTATTAAAATAAATACCAGCTTGAATTTTATCTATAGAATGTAATATTTTTTAATAATATTAATAAGTAATATACAAAAATAAATTTTTGCAGCTTGTAGCATCAACAGCTGAAGGAATTCGTCAAGAATGTAATACAGATTTAGAATCAGTACTTCCAATTTTAAATATGGCAAACTCTGCATTAAATACTTTAACTTCTCAAGATATTCAAATAGTAAAAACGATGAAGAGTCCACCGGCAGGGGTGAAGTTAGTTATGGAGGCAATTTGTATCTTGAAAGATGTGAAACCAGACCGAGTTCAAGGAGAAGGTGGAAGAATGATTGATGATTACTGGAAACCATCTCTTCGTGTTCTCAGTGATATAAAATTTCTTGAATCTTTATTACTATTTGACAAAGATAATATTTCTGATAAAATAATGACAAAAATTCGAAAAAATATCTTGACAAATCCCGATTTTGATCCGGATAAAATTAGAAATGCTTCCACAGCCTGTGAAGGCTTATGTAAGTGGGTAATTGCTCTTTCTGAGTATGATAAAGTGGCAAAAATAGTTGAACCGAAAAAAAATGCATTGGCTAAAGCTGAAGAGGAATATGATGCATCAATGGCAGCTTTAGAAATAAAACGAAACCAATTAAAAGAAGTTCAGAGTAAATTGGAAAGATTAACCGATTTATTAAACAGAAGGAAGGCTGAGTATCAGGTAATGATGGACGAAGTCGAAGAGTGTAAAGTAAAACTTCAACGTGCTGAAGAATTAATAGGAGGGTTAGGTGGAGAACAAGTACGATGGAGTGAGGAAGCACAAGCTCTCGGTGAAATATATTTCCAACTCACTGGAGACATCTTGATATCTTCCGGAATAGTAGCTTATCTAGGGGTCTTCCCAATGCAATATCGGCAAGTTCAAGTTGACAATTGGTTAAAGCTCGCTAGAGGATTGAAGCTTTTCTGCTCTAAAGACTTTCAGCTTAGTCAAGTCCTTGGAGATCAAGTTCTCATTCGATCCTGGACCATTTCTGGCCTTCCTAGTGATCTATTCTCCATCGACAATGGAATTATAGTATCGAAATCCCAACGCTGGCCACTTTTGATTGATCCTCAAGGCCAGGCCAATAAATGGCTGAAAAATATGGAAAAAGAGAATGCAATTCATGTCATCAGGTACAAAAAACTACCTTTCTTATTGAAATGATATGCAATAATGATTTAAAATTTATTTCATTGCATAAATATCTAAACTTTATTTGATAAAAACATTTATCGACATTTTTTTCAAATATGAGCTTAATGTCATCTTGGATTTACTGTATTTTAAAATTTTGAAATGATGGATTCGTAATCAGTGACCTAAAAACTCTCGGATCAATGAAATAAAAAATATCGAGTGTACTAAAAAAAAAATATTTTTGGAATATTTAATTTAAAATATTTTTATTACACCAAAAACAAATAATTACAATAATTTTAAATCATGTTTCATATTCATAAAAAATTTAATTATATTTTTTCTTTAATGTTTTTTCTCTTGTTTTTTTCATGCATTTTAATTCATCACATCAGACTAAATCAAAGCAATTACATCCGTGTATTGGAAAATGCTATTCAATTTGGACAACCAGTTTTACTAGAGAATGTTGGGGAAACGTTGGATGCCGTTCTGGAACCTTTATTACTAAAACAAAAGTTTAAATCTTCGGGTGGACTTTGTATCAAACTTGGTGATTCAATTATAGAATACAATGATCATTTTAGACTTTATATTACTACCAAGTTAAGCAATCCTCATTATTTACCAGAGGTTACAGTAAAAGTAACCCTAGTAAATTTCATGATTACACCCGACGGTTTGGAAGATCAATTATTAGGAATTGTTGTTGCTAAAGAAAGGCCTGATTTAGAAGCTGAAAAGAATCAATTGATACTCCAAGGAGCAGCTAATAAAAAGTACTTTATTAATTCAATTCCTCTAATTATTATTCTTTTTTACACAAATTGATTTCATCGAATATTTATTTATATTTATTATTATAGAATTTTAAAAGAAATCGAAGATAAAATTCTTGAAATTTTATCAACTTCAGAAGCCAATATTTTAGATGATCAAACAGCAATTTCTGTTTTAAGTTCATCAAAAACTCTTTCAAATGAAATAGAGGCAAAACAAACTACCGCTGAAGTTACTGAAAAATCTATAGATGCTGTTAGAAGTAAATACACTCCAATAGCTTCCCATAGCACAACTTTATTTTTTACATTAGGTATTTATTTACTTCAATTTAATGATAGTATTATTAAATCATTCTTGTACTTATTGTTTAAAATTCCTTTTTAGTTTCATTATCAAATATTGATCCAATGTATCAGTATTCTTTATTATGGTTTGTTAATCTGTTCAAAACAACAATAGATAAAACTCCAATTGTTGAAGACATTAATCAACGTCTAAAAGACCTTACTAATGCTTTTACTTACTCTTTATACGTCAACATCTGTCGTTCTCTGTTTGAAAAAGATAAACTTTTATTCTCTCTTCTGCTAACAATTAATTTAATGAACAAAAGCAGAGAAATTTCTATGATCCAGTGGATGTTTTTCCTCACCGGTGGAGTTGGATTGAAGAATACTGATAAAAAACCTGCAGAATGGATGTCTTCTAACTCCTGGGATCAACTTTGCAGGCTTAATGACATTCCTGGCTTTACTGTACGATAAAAAAAGATTTACTTCTATTATCAATGTTCTATAGATTTTTGCAAATTAAAAAGAAGCAGTTTTATTACAATTTTATTTAACAGTATCAAAATATTATTGTTAATGTTTGAATATTTATGTTATGATTTGATTATTCAAAATTCTATGGCTGGAGAATCTGTGAGAAATTGAAGTGAATGATGTTATACAAGTAACTACAGTATTCTCCGCTTTTGAGAATAAACCATACCTTGAAATTCTCATTCAATATGGAATTAGTCTATCGTTGGGCGATAGAGAAGCTCGAGAAGTTATAATGTATTCAAACATTAATACATATTTATAAATATTTCGTTTTACAATTGAATTCAATTCATAAAGCGTCATTATTTTTATGATTCAATTAATCATTGTCACAAATTAAATGCTCGCTTTTTATTTTCTTTTCCATTTAATACAGTTTATATTTTCTTTTTTAGAAAATTAAAAAGAGTTTTATTAAAAATATTGATCAATGGAAGCTAATATTTGATCATAAGGAGCCACAGTTTGAAGAATTTCCTGAACCTTTTAATAGATTGAATTTTTTCGAGAAAATGTTGATCTTACGATGCTTAAGACCTGATCAAATAATTCCATCAGTTCGGATTTTGATAGAAGGTAATATAAGAAAATATTATTTTCAAATTAATGTTTGATTATTGAAAGAATAAATATTATTTTAATATTCATTTTTCAGACAAATTAGGGAAAAAATTTATTGAACCACCCCCGTTTAACCTTTCATCATGTTTTGTTGATTCCTTTTGCTGTATTCCTATGATATTTATTTTAACACCTGGGGCGGATCCTACGGCTCTTTTATTAAAGTTCGCTGACGATCAAGGGTTCGGAGCCTCCAGACTCTTTTCTCTATCACTGGGGCAAGGTCAAGGTACTTTGGCTACCAGTTTGATTGATGAAGGAGTTAAGAATGGAACATGGGTTGTGTTGCAGAATTGTCATCTTGCCAAAAGCTGGATGCCGGTCCTTGAAAAAGTATCTCATAAACATTTTTACTACCTTTAAACGTTCAATGTCAGAGCAAAACCAGATAATTCTACTTCTGAACATTTGTAGAGTAAATACTAGTTGCTTTCTATGATAAAAAAAATATAAATAAAACTAAATGATGCCAAAAGTAGAATTATTTACTATTGATCTGACATATTTACTATTTTGTCTAACAATTAGTTTCAATATTATTTGATTGATTACAGATTTGTGAAGACTTTACCCCTCAAAATGTTCATCCAGATTTCCGATTGTGGCTTACGAGTTACCCTTCAGAACATTTTCCTATAAGCGTTCTTCAAAATGGAATTAAGATAACTAACGAACCACCTAAGGGCTTACGATCAAATATTTTGCGATCCTTTAATCAGGTTTGTTATAAAACAATCCTCTAAATCATCAAATAGATTGCTTTTAATAAAATACTAATGTACTTACACTGAATTATTTCATTTAAATATAATTAATATTATTTATTTATTCATATTCATTTTTATAAAACAATAGTTATATTTCAATGATTAATAATCATGTTTTTTTAAATTAGTCATTGATGATAACTAAAAAAAATTTACTGTGCAGTTAATTAACAAGGAATTTTATAATTAATACGACTTGTCGGCGTAAATAATTACCGCACACTCTGCTTTCGAAAAAAATCAATAAAAAGCTATTCTTGTTCGTTGGTGAATTCCATCATCGTTTAAATTAAAACAATCAAGAAGAATAAAAAATTTTCAATATACATATAAATTAAAGCATTGTGTATCAATAAAGAATTATTTTAACTACACAATGTCGACTTTAAATTAAAAGATAAAAAATATTATTCAAGTTGAAATATTAATAATATATTTTATAGAATATTATCAAGTTATTTTGATTTGCCATCGAGTAAAATATATTTAAAAAAAAAAAAAATGGATAAAAGCTTCTCATTAGTTTTTATATTGAAAGGATCATCTTTTATGTCACTTCTCAAGTTACAATTTCTCTTTAAATACAATTTAATAAGGTTTTTATTCAATTCCAGGATCCAATTAGTGACTTAGAATTTTTCAATAGTTCAAGACAAAAAGATGTACTGAAGAGAATGTTATTTTCTCTATGTTTCTTTCATGCAATTGTACAAGAAAGAAGAAAATTCGGCCCAATTGGTTGGAATAATCCATACGAATTCAATGAGACGGACCTGCGAGTTAGTGCACTTCAACTCAAGATCTTCTTGGATCAATACGAGGACGTGCAATATGAAGCACTAAAGTACCTTACAGGTTGATAAAAATGATAATTTATTAAAACGAAATTCAATAGTTTCTATGATGACATTAAAAATGAAATACTTGAAAAAAAGGAAAGAAATATTGAATTAATAAATTTTATTTTGATAAAAGAAGATCATTTAATAAATTATTTGTAGGAGAATGTAATTATGGAGGACGAGTTACAGACGAATGGGATCGTCGGACATTAAATACTATTCTTGAAGGATTTTATTGCAAAGAGGTCGTAGAAGATCCAAACTATTTATTCGACTCGTCTGGTCAATATTACGTTCCAAGAGCATCAGATCATGATGAGTATCTAGAATACGTGAGGAATTTACCAATGTATACAAAACCCTATGTGTTTGGAATGAATGACAATGCTGATATTATCAAGAATCAGCAAGAAACAGAGTTAATGTTGTCATCTATCCTAATAACTCAGGTAATGTTGATGAAATATCTGAGCATAGTCCACATTGCAGTTCCCAAGTAAAAAATTATCTGTCATATTTTATCATACTTTCTTATTCATAAGTATTTTTTTATGTTTTTCGTGCTCCTAGGAGCTGGAGGTAAGTTTAAAGAAGGAATATTTATAGTAAAACCTCTGAAAAAAAATTAATTATAGTAACTTTTTTATGTTAAAAGCTTCCTAAAGATTACTGGAACAAGGTAAAGTATGCAGTAATTAATAATAAATTAATTGAAAGAGTTTTTCTTAATAAAATTGACAGGATACTTCTCAAGAATCTGAAGGAGATGGCGAGAGTTCTGAGAAAATAGTTTTCAACGTTGCAACTGACATTTTATTGAAGTTGCCAAAGGATTTCAACTTGAATGAAGCCATAAAGAAATATCCTACAACTTACGAACAAAGTATGAACACGGTTCTTGTTCAAGAAATGGAAAGATTCAATAAACTACTTGAGACAATACGAAATAGTCTGCAAACTACTCAGAAAGCAATTAAAGGTAATTTTATTATTTTTATGTAGATGTATGTTGGGTTGAACAAGTTGAAAATGACTTGATATCAGCAATCACAACATTGCTTGATGGCTTCAATTATTGTAAAACAGATTAGCACAATTCATTATTTTATTTATTTAGAAAAAAAATTTTCAACATCACTTTGTTATGATTAACTGATTTATAAATAAAAGTAATCTATTTTCAGGTTTGACCGTGATGAATTCTGAGTTGGAGGAAATTTTTTCTTCTATAATTACTGGAAAAATTCCCACCCTCTGGAAGAAATGCTCGTATCCATCATTAAAACCACTTGGGAGTTATATTCAAGATTTTTTACAGCGATTAAAGTTTTTCAAGGTATTAAAATATTTTTAAAAAACCATCGGGAATATGTTAAAGCAGCTTTCAAGTGTCGAGATGATGGGTTTTAATGGAAAGATTATGTTTTTATGCAGAAATGGTATTTAAATGGCCCACCAACATCATTCTGGATCTCGGGATTTTTTTTCACTCAAGCATTTCTCACGGGAGCACGACAAAATTATGCTAGAAAATATTCCATTCCAATTGATTTGTTGATATACGATTTTATTCCATTAAAAGGAGATAAATTTTCACTTCCACCTGCTGATGGAGTTTATGTTTATGGCCTATATCTAGATGGTGCAAGGTTCAATATGATAACGATGAAGCTTGATGAATCTTATCCTAAAGTGCTTTACGATATTGTCCCACATGTAAGTAATTGATATTAATTTAATGAGTTATGGGATTAAACAAGAACTCAAATCGAAATAATTTGGCAATAAAAATAATATATAGATAAATAGTATATCATTTGTATCTAAATATCATTCTTCCATGAGTTTAGATTCATAACTATTTTCATCTATCATTGATTCTAATAAAAATTAAATAAAAGCCATATTATTTTCTAATGAAAAAAAAAACGATTTTGTTAAATATAAAAAAGTTTTTATAAATTATTGATGCAGTATGGTAAATACAATATTCAATATAAATATTGATGAATTAAAAATATATTGGAGTCGTTGATTCTTTTTGAATATCAAAAAAGTGAATCGCTTGAAAAAGAAATTATTTTGAGAAATAACAACCAATTTCACCAGAAAAAAAACAAAAAACAATTATTTTGTTTCCATACATATATTTTAGTAAAAACGAAGTTTATAATTAAAAAGTTTACTCTTTGAAATTCGTTTGTTTAACAAAAATTCAATTATCCTCAATAACAAAAAAGTTATTTGAAAATAATCACAGTTTCCTATTGTTTATTTTGTTAAATCCTCGAATTTCTATGCATTTCAATGTATGTACTCCAAAGTATTGACAAAAATTTCAACATTTATATAATTGTATTAAATTTTAATTAACATCATCGAGTTTTTATTTATATTTTTTCAATTTAATTGTTTCTATCACATTATTATGTACCCTATCCTGTCTTTAATTAATTTTCAAACACTTATGATCATTTATTATTCAAGTATTCAATCATCAACTGTTCAAATGATTGTCTATCAAAATTATCATGCTATTAAATTTCTTTTGCAGCTCTGGTTGATGCCAACTAAACGCAAAGCCTTGATCAAGAAATCAGTATACTCATGTCCAGTTTATAAAACAAGTGAACGTCGAGGAATATTATCAACAACTGGACATTCAACAAATTTTGTAATTACGATGACTCTACCAACAGACAAACCAGAACGTCATTGGATTCTTCAAGGTGTAGCGATGCTTTGCCAGCTGTCTGAGTGAGCTTTAATCGTCGAGTTAAATGACGTCAATATGAGGTAAGTATTAAGTTAAATGATGACTGAGGGTTTTAAATGTTGGGAAAATTATAGACAGTTGTATCTCGATGATGGATCATGGTGATGCTGCAGCTGACGCAGATGTCGGTAGATCGAATAAGCGTCCAGATGAGGACTTGATAGAGGGTACAGGCGAAAGATATATATATATATTTATATATATATGAGATAGAGGTGGAATCATCGCTCGACATCCGGGACACAAGGGGAGGAATAAGCGAGAGGGAAAGAGATGCAAAGGGGATGAAGTTCAGCCTGGTGGCGGCACCCTGTCTACTCGGACCGAGATCGCCGGAGGCTCGTTGCCTAGCGACGTCGTATTGATCTCTCTCCTAGTCCGTATCTCGGGCTTTTCCCCACGCCCACTAGCATCTCTATCATTTTCCTCTACTTCAACTCTCGTTTCTTCATTGAAATATACATTCCTATACGTGTCAATATTACCTATTGTTTATCATTGCCAACACACTAGTCATCATTTGACCTATTTCGTTACAGACTTTCACTTTTCAATACATCAATTATTCATGCCTTTTTTTATCATCTCTAATCGGGTCAGTTTCAATTTTAAATCAAATTTCTTCATCAAAAATTTATACCTTTCTCTGTATCTTGTTCAATTGCAATGCATCAAACTTTATTCACTATTAGAAAATCAATCATCACTTTAATTAAAAATTTAATTTTGGCATAAGTCTATTGAACTATTGATGACATTTAGATCAAAGCCAGTACCATGGTCTGTTTCAGTTATTAAAATTTTCAAATATATGAATTGAGTCAAGTGCTTGATTGAAATTCTAGATGATTGATATTAATTGTTGAACAAAAGAGCTTACTAATTGGCCAATGTCTCCATTTGATGGCAATTTTAACAGAATGTTTAAAATGTAAGGAAAAAAAAAAACTGAAACTGAGCGCCGTGGCTTTGAATAATGTACAAGTGTTGTTATATATATGGAGTATCTTGAAGGTGGAGTCGCGGAATGGTCCATATATATGTGTGTGGAGGGGTTGCCGAGCAACGATCGTCTACCCTTAAACTTTCCAATGTTCGAGGCTTTCAACCCCCTTCGAATCTCACTTCTTCGTGGCCTCGTGAAGCTCGGTCGATACAACCTCAAATATACCCGGGATTCTCCCAATTTGATTGGCGCCAATTTTGAGGTCTATTTAAGTATGTTATCTACATCTAGAGATATTAACTCAGTTACCTTAATAGACTAAATAACAATTAAATAAACCTATGAATAATTTATTGAAATAAACGCATGCGTAAGTGCAAATTTCATGCAAAAAATATTGATTACATTAAATCCTACAGTTATTAGGATGAACGTTTAGCATGTCGTCATGGTGATTATAGTCCGCTCTTAGCATTCACCGCGTGCCTTATGAATTGTTAAAACTTGGTACATGGAAGCCCGCTGTGAACGCAAGGAGCATAGACCCATCATTGAGATATCTTCTCAACAGTAACAATCAATTATAAACTATTTGTTCAATTAATTCTTGATGATTTGCCTGGAACGTTATGAATGATTTTTCATCACTTAAACACAATATTTATTTTCAAATATTAAATCACACATCACAGTAAATCACAGATCAGAAATGTATCTCTTACTGTCTTGATGTCATTGAACTTGAAGTCACGGCAATAACAAGCAGACTGTTGTCTGATGTCCACTGGGGGTAGGTTTTTAAACGTAATGATTTCCAAAGGATGAGGAGAGGGGAAGAGTAGGGAACAAGATGCAAAAGGGATCTAGAGAGAGAGAAAGGACCAATGTATGTCCAAAACCAAACGTCATGTTAGGGGAGATGAAATTCTCTCTCCTTTCACGATATGGTAACTTATTACTTATTTCTCGCTGGGTTCGACTATCCTATTTTTCACCCCTCGAAGAATACTTCCAATCCCTAGGGAGCAGCTGACAACCACCCAGATGCTATTGTCCATGGACATTCGCATAATCGAGTAGTGCCCTTTTTTCTCTCCCTCCTTTCATCCCTTGAACATCACATTCTGAACCCCCTTGCAACCTTTACCGTGGGATATTTAATATCTAATGCAATCGATTCTAATTCGATTGGTGCTATTTTTTGGACTAAAATCAATTATTCATTGGAACATTCAAAATTAGTTGCAGCATTGAAGTACAATTTTAGGAGGTTTTTTAAAATATTTCAAAGGTTTTAAAAACAAAAAATCAATAGACTGGTATTCTTTTTTGGTATTGATTAATTTGAGGTGATTTTTGGATGGTGAATTGATAATTCTTGGATGAAAATAAGTAGGATTGGATGAAAGTTTGGTGGAGAAAAATTTCAAAAAGGATTAGGAAGTATAAAAATGAACTTAATGACCGAAGTCGACTCTCAGTTACCTCCATTAGTGATTTAAAAGACTCAATGCATGTTCGTGACGCGATGAAAACACGTGGACATCACGGATGATGACCTCCATGTCACACACCCACCCCATCGATCTTTAAATACTTCCATTCATAAGATCCGATCCAATCTGATGATGATTATCAAATAACTTTAGAGATCTGCAACAAATAAATAATCGTAAGTTATTATTGATTGTTATTAATAAATGAATTATTTATCAAAGCTATTTTGAGTGATGTAAAATTTTATTTTCTTACAGAAAGAAGTACGAAAAATGATTGGAGTAATGATTTAAACAATTGGTAAAAGTTCATGGACAGTTTTATTCATACTTGGTAGTCATGGCGATCCTGCACTACTGATAAAACAACAGATTGACTTAATGCAAACTTAATAAAAAGTAGAAAATCAAGTCAAGGACTTGTGTCCTAGATTATCAGAGATTTATTTTTATCATTCTTGCTATTATTTTCTTGTCTTACTTAATCTCTACAGAATTTCTTCTTCTTTTTTAAGATTAAAATCAATTGTTGGATCACACTTGCGCATGTAATCCCAAGTATCCTGACACTTTGAGTAACAATTAAAAATACCAAGTAATAAACAGGAAAGGAATTTAAATGTATTACCTTCAAAGAGTGAACAGTTATTGGAAGATGAATCTTGTTGTTGAAAATCACAAAAGTTGAATTGAAGAAAAAAGAGAGAGAGAAAAAAATAAATAAATAAAATAAAAGCACTTTTAGAATGTGATTGGATGAATGAAAATCCTCGCGGTATAAAAACACAAATTGTAATGATTAAAAGAGTATTTAGTACCTGCCGGTTATTTGTAGTAGTGGCACGAGATATCGCTCGCACAGTTGAGTGAAAAAATATAATAGTCAGTCTCCCGAATCGCGCGGCAATGCTTCGGAAATGAAACGACGACCGTTAGAGTGTTCGGACTGCGCCGAGGACGATGATGCTTGCGACGGAAAATTCGTCGACGGATCATGCGCTAGCAACGAGAACGGGATGTCCTTGGTGTTGTTGGTTTGATGGTCGCGGGGCCACTGCGCCCTCTCCGTCACCCGCCTGGCCCTACTCCTCTATCATCCCCCAAAGCTCCCCCCTAGTCAACCGACACATCTCACGTGAAAGCTCTGCCATTTCTCCCACCATTTCTGCCACAACCACTCACACCAGCTCTTTCTCGCATGCGACGTGTTGTTGGTCTGACGGTCGCGGGGCCACTGTGCCCTCTCCTACAACCATTCCTGGATATCAACCCCCTTAACACAAAACCCCTCCACCATCATCCAGGAAATCTCCGTTTACTTCCTTATCTTGCAAACGAAAATTCCCCCAAATTGAAAAATGACGGAAAATTCATTTTTCTTTTTTTTTTTTTTGCTTTTCTGATAGTGCATTCTTTTACACCGAGTATCTAGAGAAATAGAAGTTGGGAATGGAAAGAAAATAATATTACAGGGTTGAGAAAATAAAAATTGGATTTTTCTTGGGTAATTTAACGCCTGCGCAGCGAAAAGCGCACTACCTAAGTTAAATGGAACTGGCCAACTTCTCTCTTGCTCAAAGGTGTTCAAGGGCGGTTTCTGGTCTTTAGGGATAGATCCTTCCTTCGTTTCTCTTTTATTTCTACGCGTATACACATTTACTTCGATGAGAAAAAATGACTCGAGGGAGTGTGGTCTTATCTATCTCTGTCACAGCTCCCCATGCACTACTTACTGTACCGGTCAAAAGTACTTACTTTGTTTCTATCTAAAATTACTACTTTTACTTTATTAACAACCATCTTACTGAGTACAAAATACTAATATTTAATTATCCTAAAGCATGGGTTTGGATTCACTTTGTGACCACTTCTCATTTTTATTAACCATTAAAATCTTATCTATCTGTATTTTATATTTCTTTATTAAAATTCGTAATTTTCCTATATTATTATTATTTATTTAAATTATTTACAACAAATTAAAATTTTTTATAAACAATATGAAATTGTTATATGACATATGAAGTCTTTAACATCAATATTTTATCGATATTAATCGAATCTATCAGTAAAAAAAATGTTTACAACAAATTAAAATTGTTATAAATAATATTAAATTATTATAAGTTATGTAAGATCATTAACAACAATATTTCATCAATATTAAATAAATTTTCTATTATTTTTTTTCATATGATAAGTAAAATTGATTCCCAATTGTTTGTTACTTCATCCATTTTACAGTTTATTTGTTATATAAAAAAAATGGCTAAACCTAATTTGTTTAAACTCCTCCTAGATCTTCGTTATTGCATTATCTTTCGAATAAAATTAGTCTGGAGTCGATATCTTCAGTAGTTTTCAAGATATCGAAAAAAAACCCGACATACGTACGTACAATTGTTCGTACGTACGTACATGTATATTTAAACTATTTTATATGCTTTAAAAATCGACCCTATTATAAAAATTTCCTATTGTTAAGTTAAATATACTTTTATTATAGATATAAATCAACAAATAATTCCAAATATAATAATTAT